CCAAGCTACTTTAAACACACACACACACACACACACACACACACACACACACACACACGGTATCTCTACATAGCCCTGGCTGTCCTGGAAATCAAAATGTAGATCAGGCTGGCCTCGAACCCAAAGATTTGCCTACCTCTGCTGGGATTAAAGGCATGCCCTACCATGCCTGGCTAACAATGCTATTATTGTTTAAATTATTATGATGGTTTGAAAGAAAATGATCCCTGTAAGTTCATAGGGAGTGTCACTTTTAGGAGGTATGGTCTTGTTGGAGGAAGTGTGGCTTTGTTGGAGGAAGTATGTCACTAGGGGGTGGGCTTTGAGATCTCAGATGCTCAAGCCAGGTCTAGTGTGATAGTCATTTCCTGCTGCCTACAGATCTAGATGTAGAACTCTCAGTTACCTCTCCAGCACCATGTCTGCCTGTATGGTGCCATGCTTCCCACCATGACTATAATGGACTAAACCTCTCAACTGTAAGCCAGCCCCAATTAAATGTTTTTCCTTTATAAGTATTGCCATGGTCATGGTGTCTCTTCACAGCAATAAAACCCTAAGACAATTATATATTATGGTCTCTATATACTACCACTGCACGATAAATAAATTTTTAAAATGTGTTTTTCCCATTAGGTGATAAAGAAAATAAGTGCATATACATAATTCCCACTATTTATTGATAAAAAATGTGATGGTTAATTATATTTAAGATTTTAATTACTATTCTTGAGTAATAATTGAGAGTATTAAAAAAAATCTCTCAACTATACTTGAGAGATTAAAATGTCTCTAACATGTACAAACTGTACCCTAGCAGCCCACTTCCCTTTTTCCCCCAGACAAAGAAGACTATTCTTAAAATTGACTGATATTGTAAAACTTGCTGTTCTTGTAAGATAATAGGTCATAAGGTTAACTGCTATTTCTGTTTTTTTAAATTTATTCATTTTATGTATATAAGTGCTCCATCTGCATGTGTGCCTTTATGCCACAAGAGGGCATCTGATCCCACTATAGACAGTTGTGAGCCACCATGTGGTTGCTGGGAATTGAACTCGGGACCTCTGAGAGAACAGCCAGTGCTTTTAACCACTGAGCCACCAATCCAGCCCTATTTCTGTTTTTTTTTTCTTTAAGTCTTGCTTGTTTATTCTGCTCAAAAAGATGACAAATACAACTACAAGACATGTTAAAATGAGACCCTGTCTATAGGTAGGCAGAATACATGTAATCTTGTGGATTTTGTCCTTATAAGCCCTGGGCTGATATGCCTAAATGTTGCATCTGCGGGCACTTTCAGGTGCAGTCTTGATGTCAGTATCTACATAAAAAGCCTCCAATTTGTTAAAAATTTATTAATAGACTGGTGAATCTCTAAATGACCCCAGACCCATAACAAAAACAATATAATCTTGTCACTTGCAACAACATAGATTTAACTAAATGTCATGTTATGTGAAATGTCAGGCACAGACAGATAAGCACTGTGTGTTCTCTTTTATGTGGGATGTAAAAACAACAACAAAAAAGAAGTTTACTTCATGGACACTGAGGTGGTTGCCAGAGGCAGAAGACGGAGGTGTGGGATGGGTGTAGGGTAGGGAATACTGGTTAGTGGGTACTGAGCTATAGTCAGATGGAAGTACTAAGTTCTGGTGTGGTATTACTCAACAGGATGACCAGAGATGACTATAATGCACTGGATATTTCATAGAGCTAGGGGAAAAAATTTGAAACTTTGAAAATTTTCACCATAAAAAAATAAGTTAACCAGCATATTTAACCTGACCTAATCATTAGGCAATAATATATGACATCAAAACATAACACAATATTTAACGTGTATAATTTTTATGTATCGAATTAAAAGAAATCTAATAAAAAGTGTTTTTCATATGCAATTTTCTGAAGCAAAATTGGCACCTGCTTAAGACAGTATCTAAGACACACAATAAAATTGACAAATGTTGGGCCGGGCGGTGGTGGCGCACGCCTTTAATCCCAGCACTCGGGAGGCAGAGCCAGGCGGATCTTTGTGAGTTCGAGGCCAGCCTGGTCTCCAAAGCGAGTTCCAGGAAAGGCACAAAGCTACACAGAGAAACCCTGTCTCGAAAAACCAAAAAAAAAAAATAAATAAAAATAAAAAAAATAAAAAAAATTGACAAATGTTGATCAAAGGTATTTTCAAAGTGCAGAAAAAGAAAAAGTGATTACTGAGGTCAGTTCTGGGTGGGTTCCTTAACTGTCACCATTCAATCAAGACCCCATCATGAGAATACAGGAGCAAAAAGTACCTATGTCACAGGAGAGTTAAAAGTTTTCTGGCTCCTGTGGAAGATGTTGAGGAGCAACTTCCTTTTACTAAAAAGTGAGAAATTATGGAGGAACCCAATAGCTTTTGTTTTTCTAAAATAACATTTTCTCCTTTTTTCCTTTTCAAAAACTGGCCTGAACTTAGCCATGCTCATTAAATTTCTTAAGTTGGAGCAACCTCCGGCTCTTTGCAGTCCTACCCATTCAGTTCTCCAATGGGGCCGCCGCCTGCCTTTTCCTCTAACCTTACACCTGAGCTGTGGCCCTGGCGGTATCCCCACTCCTTATATGGGAAATGGCGGGAGTTACCAGGTCAAACTGCTCTTCTGAAACGTGAGCTGTTCCTCAGGAAGCTCCAGCCCAGCCCAGCCCTCAAATGTATTTCGAACCTCGCAGAGTTCTAGTTGACAGGCGGGGAGTTCAGGAAGTTGACCGCGGAGGTCCCGACGCTCACCACTCCAGCCTCGCTCACCACTCCGGCCTCACAACCGCCGCCACTGCCCCTGCTTCCTCCTCTGAGGGGCGCGTGTCTACTGGTCACGTGGCTAGCGGGACTGGCACTTCCTCCCAATACCTGGATCACGTGGCTACCAGAGCGGCACTTCCTCTGACCGGAAGTGCGGGGGGGGGGGGGGGGGGAGGGGAGGAGCCCGAGGAGCCGAGGACTGTGCTTGTGGTGAGGGAATATCTAACACTTTTTTTTTTTTTTAAATCTTGTAGTGATGTCTCTGCCCTCATTTCTGACTGCAACAATGTTAAGGTTTTCAGTTTTTCGTATTCTAGATAAAGATTTGTCCCTGTGTCTGTTTTCAAATAACTAAATTTTGTTTTCACTGATGTTTCCCTGTTGTCAGTTCTTTTTTTGGTGGTGTTGTTTGCTAGTGTATGCTTCCCCTATTTTTCTACTTCTTGTATTCTTAGGCTTACAGTTTGAAATTATTTCTTCGTTTTAGAAATCTTCATTTATAGCTACACATTTCCCTCAGCTCGGCTGTTGCCTTTTGAGGTTTGGTATGTTGTGATCTTATTTCATTTTCTGAAGACATTTTGTAATTTGTTTTCTTTTTTTGACTCATAATTCGTAGTATTTAATTTTCAAATACGTGTGAATTTTCCACTATTTCATCTGCTATTGATTTCTAGTTTTATTAACCATCTTGGGTAGATAAGGTTGTAAAATATCAGAATTTTTAAATTGAGTCTTGCTGTGTTTTTCCTGTTAGAGCTGCGAACCAAACCCAGGTGCTTGCTAAGCAAGTGCTCTACCATTGAACCAAATCACCAACCCACCCCTACTGTGGCTTAAGATTCAGTGAATTCTAGAGAATGTTCCAGATACACTTGAGAAGGATGTATATTCTGTTGTTATTTGTTGGAATGTTTATCATATGTATGTCTAAGTTCCTATTGGAGTGTTGTGCTGTTCCTACATTCTGTTTCCTCATCATGGCCACCATGAAGGTATTTTTATTGCTCAATCTATACCCTATGTATATGAGTTGTTGTAAGGCCAAAACAGAAGCACAGCTTTCCCCACTCAGTAAACAGGATAGCAATGAACGTTGCTTTAGACATTAATCATACCTTTCTGCTAACTTGCATCACGCTACATATACCAAAGGAAAAGCTACAAAGAGTGTTGATGGTCCTAGAGCTTCATAAAAATCAAATCCTTCTTTATATAAAAAGAACAGAAATGTGTCTTCTGTGTACAATTCAAACCATTTTAAATTACATTTTATTTATTTGGGGTAAGGGCATATCACTTGAATGTGGAGATCAGAAAACAACTAGCTGGAGTCAGTTCTCTCCTTCTACCATGGGGGTCCTGGGGATCAAACTCAGGCTGTCAAGCATGACAGCATGTGCCTTTACCCAATGAGCTGTTTCACTGGCCCTGGATATTATTTTATAATTGAAAAGTTCCAACTAAAGACTGAAAACTGAGGAAACCATCCTGACACACAGCAGCTTCATAGACTGTCTTGGGGATCCTACTTGTCGGCTCATGAATTGCAGAGAGATGGTAAGATGTCAGAACTCCTCCTAGAGGATACCAACTTCCTAGATAAGAATCAGGAAGAAAAAAAAAAACCTTTGTATCGCTCCATTTATACTTTACTCTCTTATTCTTTATTATAGGGGAAGCAAGAATAGAAAGAAAAGTACATTATTTTTAAAGGAACATTTTTTTTTTCTGTCCATGCCCTTCAATTTCTCTTTTTACTCTTGAAGGAAAAGTCCATTATTTGGAATTTTGGAAATAGTAATATCAAACTTTGATATTGATTTAACTTAAACATATCAGGGAATAAGTTGGTGTGTGTGCATATTTTTGTGTGCATGTTTGTGGAAAATTTGATTTGTTGCGTGTTTATGCTCTTCTTGTCCATAGTCAGCTGCTAAAATGAATGCATTTCTACTTGGGCAAATATGATGGCACCATCACTGCTAGATGTTTATGCTCAAATACTTAGACTCTGGGAGAATAGGTCCTTACAAAGATGAAAGCTGCACTTTCATTTTTCTAGGAGAGAAAAATGGCTCTAAGAAATTTTTTAGATTTTTTTACATATTAGAAACAGGACATTCAGATATATCTTCAGTGAAGAGGACACATTTTTTTTCTTTCAGGGAAGTATTTATTACACAAATATATTTACATGAAGATATACAAGCACAAGATGTCCTTCCCATCTACCCAGCTGATGTACAAAAAAAAAATGTATCAGAATCACCAGTTGTAACTGAATCTCAAGGCACCTCTGTCTCATGATCATTTCCTGTGTTGTCTTGATTAGCAAAAGCCAGGAAGACTTGGTCCAGGGTGATTTGACTGATGGAATAATCTTCTAAATTGAATTGTTCCTTTGCTTTCTCCAAAATGCCAAACATCTTAAACAACAACAAAAGCATGCAGTTGCCATTACAGTCTCCCTCTAGCTCCCAGAGGAGCCTCTCCTCCTCCTTTCCCCAGTTTCTGTCAAGTATATTAAGTTAGACAAAAGGACACACAGAAGGGCAAAATCAGAACGCAAAAGAAACAGGTAGTTGAGAAATGGAGAAGGCAGTTTTCTGTCTCCATTCTTTTGATGGACATGAACTAGTAATGGAATTTAAGGGTAGTAATTAAAGACATTTAAACTCTAGGCATTTGAAGAGGAACATAAACACTCCACAGCTTCCACAATGTCAGGCACAATTCCACTGCCTGGATCCCAAGTACCCCCTAATTGTTAGTGCTCCCCTAACATGCAGTGGTAGAAGGGCACAGTTTCTGATCACCTTTCCCCAGCTGTTGTCCTTGCTTGGAATGTAGTAATTAAGGATCCCTTGATTCTCTTGCTTCAAGTCACTACCTAAGACAGGAAATTAGGACAGGTGAGTAATCTTACAGATTTCTTTAAAAATTATCAAAATAGTGCTGTATCTGCTTAATGTTATATATCATATAAAGGTGAAGAGTTGGGTTAACACAGGAGGAGATGTGATCCCCTCCCCCCAAAACCTGCTATTTTTTGGTATACATATATAGTAAATTGTTGTAGAGAATTGACAACAATTGTTGATGCTTTTAAGTTCAGTAAATTGTCAACTCATGTACCCAATGTAAAAGTTTGAGCTTTTAAAATACTAATATATTTATTCCTAAACATAATGCTGAGGATAGATAGAGATTTTCTGGTTGTGTGTATATGAGGGCACAGTTTTGAGAGAGGAAGAAGAACAAGTATGATGGTTGTGATGAGAATGGCCCCCATAGGTTCATATATTTGAGTGTTTGGTCCCTAGTTGGTGGAATTGTTTGGGAAGGATTAAGAGGTGTGGTCTTATTGGAGGAGGTATGTCACAAAGGTGGGTTTTGATGTTACAAAAGATCATACCATGCCCAGATAATTCTCTCTCTCTCTCTGCCTCATGCTTGTGGATCAAGATGTAAAGCTCTCAATTACTGCTTTGGAACCATGTGTGCCTACCTGCTGCCATGTTCCCTGCTATGGTGGTTATGGACACTAATGCTTTAAAATTGTAAGCCCCTATTAAGTGCTTTCTTTTATAAGTTGCCTTATAAAAGACAAGATCATGGTGTTTTTTCATGACAATAGAAAAGTAACTAAGACAACAAGGTTGTCTCATGATTATACATTGTCCTTCCATGTGCAAGGAGAAATCATGTACAGAAACTACCAATCATACTACTATGATCTTGGTTTTGTTTTTTTGTTTTTTTCAAAGATAAGACTCTATGAATACAATTGAGGAAAGAAGTGAGTTCATAATTAACTTATGCAAATTTATAAATGATTACAACTTTAATTAAATGTTTTAATTTAAAATGTTTTAAAGAAAATGACATATTTGAAATGTGTGTGGATTTTGTTAATATTAATCTTAATGCATATATTATTGTATGATCATGTAGAGCTCCTTTCATTGTGGCATATTTCAAATATAAAGCATAATACATTTATTTTTAAAAGTACGGAAAAAAACCACCCATCCAGGTCAAGTAATATTTACCCATTCATTATCAGGTGCAATGTTCCAGTTTCTACACCCCATACAAATAAGCAATATCTCCAAAACTCCTGAAGACATTTCCATTTTTTCAGTTCATCTACTTACTTATTTAAATTAATATAGCAATAATAATGAAGTACATATGGATGCAGAAGGGCTAAATTGAGTTAAGAATATAGTATCTCTTGGAGCTAGAGAGATGGCTTAATGATTAGAAGTAGTTGGTTTTGCAGAGGATGCAGGTTCAGTTCCCAGGGCTGACATGACAGCCAACAATCATCCATAACTTTAGTTCCAAGGATCTGACACCCTCTTCTGACCTCTGTGAGCACCAGGCACATGTCTGGTACATAGACATATGTGCAAATAAAATAGTCACACATATGTAATTAAATAAATCTAAAAATGTGTCTCAAATACCTATCTTTTTATGTTTATAACAGACTATTAAGAGTATACTATATTAACTATAGTCATCACACTATATAATTTATCTCCTTTTGTTGTCGTTTTGAATAAGAATGTCCCCCCATAGGCTCATATATTTGAATGGTTTCAAAAGCCCACTCCAGGACCAGTGTCTCTCTCTCTCAGCCTATGGATTAGGATGTAGCTCTTAGTTACTTCTTCAGCACCACAATTACCTGCTACCATGCTCCTTGCCATGATGATAATGGACTAAACGTCTGAAACTGTAAGCAAGCCTCCAATTAAATGCTTTATTTTATAAGAGTTGCCTTGGTCATGGTGTCTCTTCACAGCAGTAGAACAGTGACTATGACACATTAGTATTCTTTGTTCAAAATCTCCCCAACCTCACCCCACCATAGCACCCACTAAGTACCAATCAACTGTACTTCCATGCAACTTCCTTAGATCCAATATCTAAATGCTGATCAGTTAGTGAGATCATATGGCATTTGTTTTTTTATGCATGGCTCTTTTCGTTGAATATAATGCCATCTAACTTCATCCATGTTACCGAAAATGACAAGATTTCCTTCTTTTTTAGGGTTAGTTTCCCTACTGTGTATGTGCATGCTAGCTCCCATATGTGTATCATATTTATCCGTCATTCCTCAATAAATCCTTAAATTGTTTTCTTTTTTGACTGTTGTGAGTAATGCTACAGTAAACATGGGAGTGCATGTATCACTTTGACATTTTTTTTACTTGTTTTGGATATATAATCAGCAGTAGTTTGCTAGATCATAGGCTAGTGCTATTTTTATTTTTTTAAAGGAATTTCCATTTTTAAAAAATACTGGCTATACTAATTTACACCCCCACCAACTTTTTACTGATTTCTAAAATAGAAAAGCTATTGACTTTTGTCTTAGTCACTGTTCTGTTGCTGTAAAGACATACTATGACCAAAGTAACTCTTCTAAAGGAAAGCATTTAATTTGGGGCTCACAGTTCCAGAGGGTAGTAAAGTCTATGATCATTATGGATGGAAGCATACAGGTATGGTGCTGTATCAGTCACTGAGAGCTTTACATCCTGATCTGCAGGCAGCAGGCAGGGAGAAAGCTAACTGAGAATAGTATGGCCTTTTTGAAACCTCAAAGCCCACCCCCAGTGACACACCTCCTCCAACAAGGCAGCACCTCCTAATCCTTCCCAAACAGTCCCACCAACTGGGAACCAAGCATTCATTCTCATTTAAACCACCGCACAGCTTTATACTATAGAACTTGATGTCAGCTGTGGGCTTGTGGCATATGATATTATAAGTATTGAGGAGAATTCCTATTGTATCTAATCTGTTGAAAAATTTTAAAATCACAAAATGTTGGATTTTGTCTAAAGGTTTTTCTGTTTCCATTAAGATGAGTGAATACATTTGTTGTTCACTCGGCTATTTGGTATTACATTTACAGGTTTGTATATGTTAAGTGATACATCAGCCATTTGGTGATGGTGAATGATCATTTTTGTGTGCTCTTGAATGAAGTTTGCTAGTATTTTGTTAAGGATTTCTTTGCCATGCTCATTAGGGACACTGGCCTGTAATTTTTTTGTAGTGTCCGTGACTAGTTTTGGCATCAAATTTGAAAGTATTCCCTGTCCTGCAGCTTGTTGGAAAGAAGAAGGTCCTGCTCTTTGTTCTTTGAATAGTAATGAAATGAGAAGCATCCAAACTCAGCTTCTTATCCCCACGACAGGCATATCACCCATTGAGCCATCTCAGGTCAGAGACACATCAGCCAGTCCAGGCTCAGGGAGAGATCTTGCCTTAAAGCATAAGGTGGACAGTGATAGAGGAAAATGTCCTACCTCGACTTTGCCCTCCACACATTCATGCACAGGTGGTACATACCTGCACATATATATATGCACATATACATACCACATATAGGAACACATACAACAGGTTTGCTTAGTAAAATTACAAGTACATTCTTTTTTCTTTTGATGTAAAATTTTTATTATGTGAAGATATTACAATTCAATGTTTTTTTCCAACATAATGTTTTTATTATTTGGGAATTGTACATCATGTACCCCTATAAGTACTCACTTCCCAGTCTTCCCAGGGTTGAACCCCACCCTTTTGACCTCCCCCTGAAAAAAATAGAAGAGGAAGAAAAGAAAAAAGTTCAATTTATATTGCTCATATACTCACTGGTATGGAGCACAGTCAATTCTTTATGGATACCTACATCTGTATGTCTCATGGGGAAATCATAGTCACTGAGGCCAATGCTAAAGTGATTATTTGGTTTTCCTCACATCTGTTCACAATGTCTGCTCTACCATTGATTGTTAAAATATATTTTCAAAGTTACATTCCTACAGTATAACAAATAATATTTTCCATGGCCCAAAAGATGAAATTGCAGCTCAGCAGCCTGAGACACACCAGAAATTCCTATAAGAGTTTGCTAAAAATTGTTCTTGTATCAGTGCTTTATGGTTAGGAAAGAGGCTGAGAAAGAGAAAATACTTGCTAGTGCTTGCACTGTTCTCTGTGGGCAGAGAGGTGCTTACTGAGTTGTCACTCAAAAGCAGAAGGATTTTCGTCAGGAGAGACACACCTGCTAGAGCTTGCCTGCATTTCACAATTGTTTATCGGCACTGATAGCCGAAAGCCAGAATAAGATGCTTAATGACAAGGTGAGCATCCCTTAAACATTTTGCATAGATAATGTGTGAAAAAAAATGAGAAATGTGTTAAAATATGACTTTAGAGGTGTAATTTATCTGGATAGGACAAATTAGGAAGAGGTCCTAGAAGGTGATGTCAGAGTTTGGTGCCAGCCTCTGTTGTCTGGGAGACTTCTTAGTGTAACCTGGCAACAGAGGTTTGCGGTGACAAAGGAAGTATGGAGGATCACTGAACATCAGTAACACGTGGAGATGAGATTTCAAACATAGACATTATGCATGGTGAGAACAAACCACAGAAGTTAACACATCTCTAACACCATTGGAACAATTAAACTTACCTGGAAATGTCAATCTGATGAAACTTTTAAAGTCCTTTACTGTTTCCTCAGACTTGACCTTGGCCTTCAGAATATAAATATCACCAAACTTGTTCTTGAGGTACTGAGGGCTACCCAGGCATGTGAGCTTTCCTTTCACCATTATGGATAGCCTTGTACAGAGAGCTTCACATTCTTCCATGCTTGCAAAACAAGGAGACAAAGCAACATGAAACCAAGACAGACATTCATTGAAAGCAATTGTACATTGTACATCCAAACATTGCCAGGATCTTGTTTTCAACCACAAGTATTAAAAAGAAATCTTGAGCCGGGCGGTGGTGGCGCACGCCTTTAATCCCAGCACTCGGGAGGCAGAGCCAGGCGGATCTCTGTGAGTTCGAGGCCAGCCTGGGCTACCAAGTGAGTTCCAGGAAAGGCGCAAAGCTACACAGAGAAACCCTGTCTCGAAAAAAACCAAAAAAAAAAAAAAAAAAAAAAAAAAAAATCTTGTAAATGGAGAATGTTGTAAGGGTATTGAAAAGAAACAGTCTTTTAAATCAATAACTATGAGAGGCCATCCTTTTGGTAACACACAAGTTGTGTTTTCCAATAACCAAATTCATGGTTAGGAAGTATATTGTGATGTCTAGAGGTAAACCTTGGGTGTCATCCCTTTAGCGCCATCTGCCTTGTCTCTGACTGGGCCCTGGGGTGAGGGCCACTGATTGAGGCTAGGCTGCCTGGTCGGCCCCAGGGTTCTACCTGTTTCTGTCCAGGACCGGGATTGCAAGCATGCATCACCACATCCACCTTTAAACATACTTTACAGTTTATTTTTCTATGTATGGGTATTTTGCCTGCATGCGTGTGTGTGTGTGTGTGTGTGTGTGTGTTTATGTGTGTGCATGTGTACAGTGCCATGAAGACCAGAAGAGGGCATTGGATTCTTGGGACTAGAGTTACAGATGGTGATGAACTGCCATGTGGATGCTGGGAATTGAACCTGGGTCCTCTGGAAGAGCAGCTTAACTGCTTTCAACTGCTGAGCCATCTCTCCAGTCCTCACACCCAGTTGTTTTTTTTTTTTTTCTTTCTTCCTTTTTTTTTTTTTTTTTTTTTTTTTTTTTTTTTTTTGTATGTGAGCTCTGGGGATTCAGCTCAGGTCCTCATACTTGAATAGCAAGCACTTTACTAATTGAGCTATCTCCCCAAGCCCTGAGAAGTGTGTATTTTTAAAGGATAAATAACAGAACACTGAATCCTCAAATGTAATACATCTCCAACTTTCTGTTTTCTATTCTTCATTTTTAAAAATACACTGAAGATTCTTTGCTATCCCATTTATTAGGATTAACACAAATCTTAATTCCTAACAATAAACTTATCACTCAATCAAGTATACTGCTCAATAGTCCTAGACCCCAAATAATTGGCCTGTATAGCTACTATATTTCTTGCCTATCCTTAGCCAAGCCTTCCAAAGAGCCATACCTGTGGGATGTTATAATGATGGCCTTTCCACTTTCTCGAGTCTTTATTACTGTGTCCCAGAGAAGGCGTCTAGCTTTTGGGTCCATGCCAGTTGATGGTTCATCCAGTAAGATAACTGAAGGCTTTCCCATTGTGGCAATAGCAGTGCTCAGCCTACGTTTATTTCCTCCACTTCAGATCAATGAAGGGGGAAAAATGGAAGAAGTGAAACTATATCAGTTATATCCAGGAAAGACTTAGCACAGACACTCCTAGTACTGACAGTTCCAACAAAACACAAGTGTAGACATCTTCATGCAGATTCAATATGGCTTTAACAAAGCATCAGGTCCAAGTACATACACCAAGTGCGTGCACATATATAACGTAGAAGGTGTGGTTTTGGTTCCATTTGTTTACCTATTGCTATTAGGATATATAATCCCCACCCTAATTTGAAGGCCTACATTTCTCTCTGTTGCAAGACAGAATTATAGGAACAGTAGGGGGAGGAAAACACACCCTATTTAGGTTTCAGAAGCCGTATTTCAAATAGAGTCAGGATATGAAGTTTCATTTCTGAAATGTGGAACTGTTACTGGCATCTGAAACCCAATAGAATAAGATGTTATTCAACTTAGCATTAACTGTCGACATAGCCTCAAATCACCTGAAGAAGTCTCAATCAAGTAATTAACTTCCCTTATCAGGTGGGTTTGTGATTATGTCTGTGAGGAACTGATTCAAGAGGGCTCATCTAGGTAGGTGGTCCTGAGCTAGATAAGAAAGTTCACTAAATGTGAGCCTGTGAGCAAGCCAGCTAGCAAGCAGCATCCTCTGTACATTCTATCTGTACAATATTGGTTATGAGTGAATTCCCCGGTTGGAGGTAATGGTGCACAGAAAAGTAAGCAATCCTGACCAGGTCTGGGCCTTGACTTCCTTTGATGATGGACTGTGACCTGGAAGTGAAAGTCAAATGGACCCTTTTCTCCCTGAATTTGCTTTTGCTCAGAGTGTTTTAACACAGCAACAGGATGAAGCTAGGACATATGGTAACACAATCAGTTAACTGTGTGGCAGAGAAGCTTAGGTGGAGCTTTGGGCACTTGTATCAAACACCAGGAACAAAGGGTTCTGTTGGCAAATATTATTTTTAAGCTATGTTACTTTTGCTTATGTGTTTTAGTTTAAGTCCGTGAAGCTGTGTTACTTTGCCTGTCTAAAATACCTGATGTTCTAATAAAGAACTGAACAGCCAATAGCAAGGCAGGAGAGAGAGATAGGTGGGGCTGGCAGGCAGAGAGAATATATAGAAGGAGAAATCTGGGAGGAAGAAAAGAAGTAGCCAGAGAACGAGGATGACTTCAGGGGCCAGCCACCCAGCTACACAGCAAAACATGGAGTAAGCCGGGCGGTGGTGGCGCACGCCTTTAATCCCAGCACTCGGGAGGCAGAGCCAGGCGGATCTCTGTGAGTTCGAGGCCAGCCTGGGCTACCAAGCGAGTTCCAGGAAAGGCGCAAAGATACACAGAGAAACCCTGTCTCGAAAAACCAAAAAAAAAAAAAAAAACCATGGAGTAAGAGTAAGATTTATAGAAGTAAGAGAACAGGAAAAGCCCAGAGGCAAAAGACAAATGGGCTAATTTAAAGTTAAGGAAAGCAGGCAAAAAATAAGCCAAGCTAAGGCCAGCATTCATAATTAAGAATAAGCCTTCCCGCCGGGCGGTGGTGGCGCATGCCTTTAATCCCAGCACTCGGGAGGCAGAGCCAGGCGGATCTCTGTGAGTTCGAGGCCAGCCTGGGCTACCAAGCGAGTTCCAGGAAAGGCGCAAAGCTACACAGAGAAACCCTGTCTCGAAAAACCAAAAAAAAAAAAAAAAAAAAAGCCTCCCTATGTGTGATTTATTTGGGAGCTGGGTGGTGGGCCCCCCAAAAGAGCCAAAAACCCCCAACATCAGGATACTTAAATATTATGTGCATCAATGACAACAGTAGTCAAGAAGCTATGGCATAATGACTCACCTGTAGGTGCTGATAAGATAGTTGGAATGGGGCTCCAGATCCAAGGAGTTCAAGTACTTGTTCACATAGGACTGAATCTGATGCTCAGGGACTCCCCAAATTCTTGCATACATGATCATTATTTCCCGACCAGTCATGTATTCCAGCAGAGCATCAAATTGAGGACAATAGCCAATTTTTGACCTCACCTAATTACAATAATTGCTGTAAGTGAAAACCCAAGCCATCTAGCACCATGTGGATATTCGTAGACAAGGCAGGAGGCCTGGGGTTCTCCAGACCATGTTTCTAAGAGTCCTATCAAGAAGTTTTCTTTTTTGAAGGGCTACAAAATTATAGCTGGTGAATCTATTGTAGTCTAATGGAGTGACTGGTTCTCATATTCAGTTCTAATGGTCATGGGGATTAAAAAGTCAGAAACCAAGTCCCAGGTCTCGTTCAGTTTGAAGGAGTGTTAAGATGTATGTCTTCCTCTTAATTGGGGGCTCCAAGGAGCATGACCAGCATGGATCCTTTCTTTACTGTTCAGCCTGCACTGCCCTGTACATGCCTGTCACTTAGTGAGGTTGAACAAAACCAAAGATAGCCCTCAGCTTTGCAAATAGGAGCTCAAAAGTTATGGTTGCTTTAGGACTTAAATTTGTTTCCAGTAGGTGCACACAGCCTAGTTAGCTAGAGAAAAAGGCTATGAACTTAAATTAATAATTAATATTTATCCTAGATTATTCATGCTTGTAGAGTTGGCATGGTGCAGTTCCCTTCCTCTCTGGCTAAAACGGCTCTTAATAATGTATTTTCCACTCACACCTTTATTTTTTTTCTCTTGACCTCTCTTTAGGATCCATACACTAAAGATATAATAAAAAATACAATTAGCACAAGTAAAGTTAGAAAATTTATTACCTGTGTACAGAAAATAATTCAGACATTATCAGAAAATACCCATGATGACCCTTAGCTTCTATCTCAGGCTGATTCTAAGCACAGAGATGGTAAAAACAAACAAACAAACAAACAAACAAACAAACCAAAAACAAAACAAAAAACCCCATTAAACTCCCTAGAAACAATAAACAACATCAAACAGAGAATGGGGAAGACTGTAATTGCTAGAGTTACCACACTGTCAGTCCAGTTTTTAGCAAAATCGACAAGCATACAATGAAATGGACAATGCAGTTCATTGATGGGAGCAGGAATCAGAAACTCTGCCAACCTGAAAGAAGTTTTGATGGCAAATCTGCTCGCCAAAGACTTTGAAATAGCCATCTTTGATGCTAAAGTAACTAAAAGAACTTGTGGGGAAAGTCAAGAAAATGGCATATAACTATTAATAGAGAGATAGAAACCCCCAAAGGAAACATAATAGGCATGCATTACTATAAGGGCAGGGTGTGGGAACTCCAAAGGTGTAGAAGTTAAAGATCTCATTAGTCAATGAATGGATTATGAAATAAACCATAAAAGAATTTAGAAATTATTTAGAGATTAGTGAAAAATGAAAATACAGCATATCTCAGTTTATCAGACTTAGTAAAATCAGAGTGTGGAAGTATTTATAATTATACTGTCTAGCTGAGCTCATAGCTGGAGTTGTCCCAAAGTAGTGACTGGTGAGTTACCAAAGGGACTGGCCCAAGCCACTCAGAGGTGGGTAGTGACTTGAAAGAGACGCACAAAATACAGAAGGCAGCAATGTCCTCTCCATAGATGGTAGGAAAGGAAATATATGACCTTAAGTGAAGGGGTGCTCTGTGGAGTTCATATGAAGCTTTGTGGAACTCAACTTGGAATTGGGGCTAATTTCTACATGGTTAACAATATACCTAACCCTTTGGTTTGAAGTAACAACCTAAAAATCTCGGTATATTAAAATGGTCCTTCACACCATGCAGGCCCTGATCATTTTTCTCCGAGCAAAGATTGCAACTGCATGGCTCTCATAGTAGTCCAGGGCCCTGTGCTTTCTTGATCAGGGATCAAATGTAAAAAGCAGGGGGATCTGGAGGACAGGTACACACTATAAACACACTACAAAGTCAGAAAACAGGCTGCGGTCATCGAACATGCCTCTAGTCTAGCACTTGGAGTGTGGAGGCAGGGGCCTGATTAAAGGTCCTCTTTGTTTGAATAGAAGGTTTCATGGTGAACAGGTGTTCTGGGAAGCCAAATTGCAGCTTGGCCCTGAACATGGCAACTAAAGTCATTCTTTCTCTAAGTTCACATATTACTTCATCAATGTCTCCTCTGGATGGATTTTGTTTTCTTGAGTTCTCTTTTCTCAAACCCCTCATTTTCTTAATCTGTTAACTTTTATGTTTTTTAATTTGTAATATAACATGTTTAATATATTGAAAGTATTGGTTCTACTTGTATTCACTAAATATATAATCTGAAGGGATTCTAAAAATACAATTCCATTTATAACATCAGTCAATATAATAAAGTAGAAAAAGGGGTTAATCAAAGAGTTTAAAATGTTATATACTCAAAACTATAAAACACTTCCGAAATAAGCAGGTGTATAGATAAATCATGTTTGTGAATTGAAAGACTTAATATTGTTAAGAATCCAAAAATACCCCCAAATTTACAGTTTTGAGGTAATCACCATCAAAATTATAATGATACAATTTCCTTTTTGTGAAAACAGAAAAACCTATTCTAAAGATAATCTGTAATCTTCAGGGAGCCTAATCCCCCAAAATATCTTAAAAATGAAGAAGGAAGTTGAAGGACTCGTCTCAAATTAAAAATGTATCAAAATGTTACAATAATCAAACAACTGGTACTGTCAATAAAGGCAGATATATAGGCCAGTGCAACATAATAAAGACCTAGAGTAGAACCTTAGGCCTGGCGTACTGGCTCCTGCCTGTAACCCAGCATTCCAAAGGCTGAGGGAGAAGGAGTGCCAGGACTTTCAAGCCAGTTCGGTTTACATAGAAATTTCCAGCCCCATCTTTCAAATACCTTAATTGGTTAATTATTTTGATAAGGATGCCAATGAGTAAAGGATAATCTTTCCAACAAATGCTACTGGGAAGACCAAAGTTGGACCTGTCACACAAAATAGAACAAAGAGCTAAATACAGAATTTATGAAGTTCTTAGAAGAAACCATATGGAGAGAGCTTCATTATAGTGACTTGGCAATGGACTTTTGGATGTGGTAACAAACTCCACAGACAACAAAATAAAAATTGTTCTTCATGAGATTAAAATCATTTGTATACTAGAGAACAAGGGAAGGGAAACATCAGCTCATAGAATGGGTTAAATATTTACATATAGCGATTAGTGTATAGAATACATAAGTGCTCCTCCAGCTCAGCAACAGAAAAGCATCCAAAGGACTTGAATACACACTTTCCCAATAAAGACATAAATGGCAGCAGTATGTAGGAAAAGTGCCCAATATCACTAATCTTTAGGGAAATGCGAATCAAAACTACAGTGGGAAACGATTTCACATATTAGCATGCATACTATAAAACAATCCAGTGACACAAGAAAGAGAAGCGCCCATCACGTACAGAAATTGCAACTGTTATGTGCTGCTGACAAGGATGTAGATGGTGAAGCTCATGTGGAATATACTATGACACTCAAATCTCTAAATATATACTTTAAACAACCTGAAGCGGGTACCCAAATGAATGTTTGTTGCTATGGTTCTGGCTGGGATATGTATTGAATGCTGGCTCCCTGGCTTGGCCTATTGGGAGGCTGTGGACTCTATGATGTGGGACCTGGTGGGAGATCCAGAGGTCAAGTTCTTGAAGAGGATAGTGGGTCCCTGTCTCCTGCCATTTTCTTGTTTGTATCCTGGCGGTGAAATATATGGTTTTGATCTGCCATGCATTCCTGTCATGATGTGCAACCTTGCCATAAAACCAAATGCCACAGAGCCAGCAAATCATACCCTTGAACATTTGAAACTACACAAAATGACTCTTTTAAAAAACAAGTTGACAAAGGTATTTTTTTATAGCTATAGAAAGCTGATTAGTGCATTTCATACTGATGTGATACTATTATTTGTAATAGTCAGATAGTAGATGAATGGGTAAACAAAATGTCCTATAATTATACAATAGAGTGAACATCTAATACATATATTAACCTTAAAGACAGTGGCAGCTGAAATATGCCAGGCAAAAAGGAACATTTTTATGTACAATATCTAAAACAGAGTCAAATTCTTACAGTCAGAAAGTAGGACAGTGGTTCCCAAGGGGTGAGTGAAGGAATGGACAGTTATTGTTTAATGGGTAAATTTTTCAGTTTGGGATGACTAAATACTTCTAGAGACAAACTGTGGTGATGTGCACAATGTCACTGAATTATAGAATTATTCAGAAATGCATTAGATAGTAAATTTTATATCATCTATTGCCATCACGATAAGAAGATATGCTAAAGAACATTTTAAAGACAAAACAAATTAAATATCATCACCAGTCACATAAAATGTGAGAGAATTTCAAATGGCAACCTGGAAAGATGCCCCAGGCTTGAGAACATTTCTCAGACTTTGTGATGCAGAGCCAGCCGCTGGCAAGCTTATGTTGGGCTTGTGTGCCTGGTCTCCTTTTAAATTTGGTACTTTCTCTGACCATGATGTTGATTCTTAATGCAGGCTTTGTTCCCTGGTGATAAATCACCTAATTCCCTTTGCATCCTGACAGTCCCAGGTGGGCAGTGGGACTTCTATCTCCTCAGGGGCCTGATAAGTGCTGTAGACTTCTGGAATGTGAAACTTTGACATTCTTTTCTGCTTGAAGCTCTCAGCATATGTCATCTCCAGCTCCTGCAGCCAGTAGCCAGCACAGGTACAAAGGCTGGTGGTTTTGCTTTGATTTGCAAGCATTCTGAAAGGCCATCCTGTTTCAGAGCTCTCAGTGACATGGATCAAGGCCCTGGTTGCAGCTAAACTCCCTACAGGCAGGTCATCCTCTGCTTATTTTCGCTGCCTTACACCCTTCCAGCCCCATGGGATACTTGTCTTCTCCACTGTGGTGAGAACTTGCCTTTCACTCCTACAGTTTCAGAAGACACTCTTGTCATAGGTTATGCTCTTATTACCTTACTTTCTCTTTGAAAATTTATTTTCCTCTCCAGAAGCCACAGCATCGGCATCTGTACCTACCACCATTGCCATGTGTTATCCCTAGCATTCTGCCTGCTGCCTGCAATCTAGAGTCATCGCTCTGTTCACCTCTTAGCCTGGAATAGCTTACCTTTAGGATGTTCTTGATGATGCTAATGCCATCAATGAACACATCTCCGGTGGTAGGAGTTTTTTCTCCGGTCAAAATTTGGAAAGTAGTTGTTTTACCTGCTCCATTGAATCCAAGTAATCCAAAGCACTCCCTCTCTTGGACAGCAAAGGAAATATTTTTCACAGCCAGAATGAATGGGTACTTAAAGTATATCTTTAAAAAAACACACACACACAACACAACACAATTTAGTAAAGGATATTTGTAGGTTATATAAAGAAATATCATGGACAAAGCAGTCATGCCCTCAGATAGTGTCACAAGAAGTTCACAGAAGAGTTTGCAAAGGTCCTGAAGAACCACAGTGAGACTGATGCCCACAGTGTTCTCTTGATGGAGCTGAAGGCAGAATATGAGTGCCATGGAATACCCTTACCTTTGTGAGCTCCTTAATAAGAACTGGGGAATTCAGAAACTCTTCAGGCTGGTGTAGAATTTTCTTTCTCTCATTTTCTACATCTTTATCTTCAGATTCCCCAGATAATTCCTTGGAAATTATATCCTGTATTTTTCAAGACAAGAATCGTACATGTGGATATCTTGTTAGAGGCATCTGTCCTAAATGTAGTGGATTTGTGAAATCTAAACACATGTCTAAATGGATGCTTTGAGCAATTTCCAAGGGGCTTTCTGAGTATTATTTCAGTGGTCACATCCAAAAGTAACAAGTAGTTCATCACAGAAATGAAGGTGGGGAGCCAAGAGAGGGAAAAGGGGCTTTCTGAGTATTATTTCAGTGGTCACATCCAAAAGTAACAAGTAGTTCATCACAGAAATGAAGGTGGGGAGCCAAGAGAGGGAAAAGCTATTCTCAAGGTAGAAACCATGAATTTGTGTGCTCTAAAGAATGACTCAAAACTTTCAAACACTTATGGGCATGATTGGATCTCTTTATCTATTTCTGTGTCTTGTGCCTTTTCTTTGGCTCTTTTCCTTCTGTTCTGTCCTATTCTGATTAGTTTGTTTTTATTTTATTTTATTATATTATATCTTATTGTTATCCTTTAGAAGCCTATTTGTTTTCTAATGAGAGAGAAAGGGGGTGGATCTGGATGGGAGGGGACGTGGGAAGGAGCTTGGAGTAGGGGAAGGGGAAACTGTTATCGGGATAGATCATGTGAGACAAAATATTTTTAGTAAAAACAAACATGCAGAGAAGTTATTTTGTCACCTGAACCTAAGGATGGAATTCATCCAAAGAGATGAGGGAAGCTGAAACACATGGTAATGGGGATGGAAAGATGGCTCAGCAGTTAAGAGCACTTACTGCTCTTGCAGAAGACCCAGGTTCAGTTCCCAAGACCTGCATGGCAACTGACAACCACTTCTAACTCCAGTTCCAGGGGAGCTAACACCTCTGCTGGCCTCCACAGGCTCTTGCACACATGTGGGACACATACATTCACCAAGTCACATACATATACATAAATAAAAATAAATAAATCATTGATGCCTTTAATCTCAGCACTTAGGAGGCAGAGAGGCAAGCTAATCTCTGTAAATTCAAGGCCTGGTCCACATTGTGAGTTCCAGGCTACCTGGGACTACATAGTAAGACCCTGTCTCAAAAAAAGAAAATGCATTTTTAAAATGTGGTAATAAGTAAACTTTGAAGATCTAAAAGGGAATTAGATGAACATGGTGGGGAACACTGGTAACCTCAGCACCTGGGAGGTAGAGGCAGGAGAATGTGAGTCCCAGGCTAGCTTGTGCTTTTTGTAGGTAGTTGTGTATGAAGGTCTTTGAGGATGAATCCTCTATCACAACCATCATTTTGTAAAACCAGGAATGGAAGCTGTAGGATTCTGATTACCACCAAAAAGAACTAGATTCGTGTCAAATCTCATTCAGAACTGCCAGTGTCTTCAGTTGAATTATTTGGCTTGCCTTTTAGATGAAGCTGCTGCTCCCCTACCAGGAAGCCATGTGTCTGGAGCTGCATGTGGCTTGGTTCCCTCTCTTTCATGGGTACCCATCTTTACCTCGGTATTCTTTAGCTGTACTGTCATGTCATGACCTTCATGAATTTCTCCAATTACCTCTTTCAGCCTTTAGAATACAATCTACTCTCTTATACTAACTTTTCCTTACCCCAGTCACGTGGAAACAGCTCTGTCATCTTACCTAGGAGCCTACATTATTACTTTCCACTTTTGAGACAGTGTCTAAGTTACCTAGGCTGGCCTTGAACTCCCTCTGTAGCCCAGGAGTGCCTTGAACTTGTGATCCTCTTGTCTCAGGTTCCTGAGTAGCTGGAACTATAGACCTGTATCACCATATATGGTTTGATGTATGTATTGTTAAATGCTCATGTTGGAATCAATGAGAGCTTTAAGAGCCATGACTTTAAGCTTGCTAAAAAGAAATCGGGAAACATAACAAAGGAGAAGAAAAACTGAAAGTGAGTAGAACAAAGGAAATTAGAAAAGTAAATATAAAAAACTGAATGCAAGAGAAAGTTGTCAGCAATAGATAAAATTCATAAAGACAAACTCTAGCTCTTCAAAATGATAATCGAAATGAATGTACTTTATTGTAGGTAATATCTCAGCAGGACTTTAAGGACAGACATTCCAGTAGACACTGTTATTTTTCTCTATTAACTGAGGTAGTAATATACAACACCTACTTTCCTTATCTAATTTCTATGCTACTAGAGTTTTTTTTTTTTTCTTGGCTTGTTCCATGCTTAAGTACTTACTGACTTGTATTTCTTGTAGATACCAAAGTAAATGTATTGATGGATAAGCATTCTTAATTTCCAAACAATATTCTCCCAAAAGAAAATAAAGAGAAGGAAAACTAAGCCTGTGATGCTCATAGCAATTAAATACTTTCCGATCATATGCTCCTTTAAAGAATAAATATTCTTCTCAATACCTGAGGATGGAGGGGAGAAAGATGAAGGAATCACACTTAATCTTATTGTGCAACACTGACATAATAAAACGCCAAATAAGAAACAGGAAAAAGTGAGATGTTGGGCTAAACTTAGACACAGTATTCAGAGCTTGAGGAGTGTTTATTCTGCTCTGAAAATGCAGTTTGAGAGAAAAACTTTGAAGACTGACCCTCATTAGTATATTGCATAGTAACATAGTAAGAATATAGCAGAGACAGCTAACAATATAACATCAAATAGATACTCAAGTCAATATTAGTAGAACTAATTCACACTGATAATATCCACCTCATTTTCTTTTTTTTTTTTTTTGGTTTTTCGAGACAGGGTTTCTCTGTGTAGCTTTGCGCCTCTCCTGGAACTCACTTGGTAGCCCAGGCTGGCCTCGAACTCACAGAGATCCACCTGGCTCTGCCTCCCGAGTGCTGGGATTAAAGGCGTGCGCCACCACCGCCCGGCCCCACCTCATTTTCAATATGATGAAAGGGCACCTCCATGGGCTTCCTTTCCAAAGACAGCAACTATATTCTTACTATGTTACTATGCAATATACTAATATAGTACCAGATTCAGTCACATTTCCTAGCTTTTAATGTAATGTCTCTTTTCTGTTCCACATTACAATTCCAGATACATTATCCTTAGTAGTTATCTGCAGTTTCTTGGCTGATTATATTCCTGTTCATGATTATAGTGGTGTTGCTGTCTTTGGAAAGGAAGCCCATGGAGGTGCCCTTCATCATATTGTAAGAAAGCAGGCTGAGAAAGCCATGGGGAGCAAGGCAGTAAGCAGCATCCCTCCATGGCCTCTGCACTAGCTCCTGCCTCCAGGTTCCCGCCCTGATTTCCTTCAATGATGAACAACCATGTGGAAGTGTAGGCCTAATAAATCCTTTCCTTCCCAACTTGCTTTTTGTCATGGTGTTTCATCACTATAGTAACTACAACTAGGACACCAAGAATGAGAATTTTCCCAAACTTTCCCAATACATCAAATCATAAACCCTGTAAGTTCTCACAATATAAGCAGAAGAAATGTTGATTTACCCTAAGCTACATGGAAATAATGCTAATCATGAAAGAGAATAAACATATTAACAATAAATAGCTTATTAAATTTTCTTATGATCTTAGGCAGTTAGTCTCCCAACACAGAACATAATAAAACACACAAGTCAATACATTGGAAACAAACACAAAATGAATCAATAAAATTGAAAGCTTATTTTCTGACAAGTCTGATAAAATTGATAAGGCATTTCAGGATTGATCAAGACACCTTAAAATTTATGAGCCCGAATGTAGCCATTATAAGACCATTAATTATGCTCCTTGTGAGCTGCCTGTTTTTTCTTTATGGTTCTTAGCTGTTCTTTTGCAGAGCTGCCAGCTTAAGTCGTGCTGGGATCAAGAAAAATGGGCCTTAGCTGTTTGTGTTCCTGGAGTTGTATCCATGCCAGTGGATGCCCACAAGCTCAGAAGAGAATTTGACATCGCTGCTGCCATTGTTGCTGTTATAGCAGTGGCAGCCACCGCTGCTACTGTTTCTGGGATTACCATTTCATAATTGCTTACTACAGCTAGCACAGTGGAGACCCTGGCAGCAAAAGTAGCTACCACAGTTAGTTAATCTTTCATTCTATTGGGCATGATAAATTTAATTCAATAGTTACATACATTTCGATTGGCTTTGAAAATTATAAATTTATAAACTCAAGTTCCATTTGCTTTTGGGATACCATCTTATAAGGATTCCAATTTGCAGTAGGGCTCATTAAGGAAGGGAATGGCTCAGTTGCCTTTAGCCTACTGGCTATGGGTGGGTTAGGACTTCTGTTGGTCTTTTTTGTGTCAAACACACAGATTGCAAGTCCAGCGCCACTTTGAGATCTTTGGCAGCAGTTAATTCTGCAGCTCACACACGATTGAGCCTGTATGATAATGAGTATTCAGAGACAGGTAATGTCTGGGGGGCCCTCACCAACCTAAGACAGAACGCCTGTATGGCCTGGGCAGGCATCTCCATGACGGGTAAGGTGACCTGCTAATGTCCCACGCAACCTAAGTCAGAAGCTCATTTTTTAGTAAAAGGGGGACCTGTAGGTTCCTGGCCCCCGTTTTGGATAACTGTTGCCTTGCTTGCTGACCTTGACCTTGATATCCTCCCTATGCTAATTCCCTGCCTGGTTCCACCCTCATGAATGCTTAAGGGAAGTTCCTTGTCTGTGTATCCTGCATAATGGGCATTAACAGCTTAGATGCAAGATTGTAAAACATCGCTAGTGAACTTCTGCCCTCTGGAGTTCTCCCATTGTGCTATAAGCCTGTATTTAAGACCTCTTCCCTCCTTCAATAAATGGCATTTGGCATTAAAAAAAAAAGGATGAAAAGAAGGGCCAGCAAGATGGCTGATTGAATAAAGGCACTTGACACCAAACCTGATGACCTGAGCTTGACCTCAGGGTCTACTTTGTAGAAGAACTGATAATTATAAGTTTTACAAGTTGTTTTCTGACCTCCATACATGTGCCCCCAACAGTCCCTCAAAATACATGCACGTACCTGTTGGGGAGTATTATTTTAAAGTGTGTTGCACTATTTCATACTGCTTTTGTTAAAAATTCAAAGATGTGTTTGATTAAATAAAGTTAACTGGGAGCAGGAGGCTGAGTCAGCAAGTAGGTGCCAGGAAGTGGTAAGGAGGAACCACGTGTAGCAAGGGTTTTTTTAAGTGGGCCTGAGAGAAGGACGCTGGGTTTTTTGGAAGATGCAGCAAAGGGAGAAGGTTAGCTACTTGCTATTCAGTCTTTCTGAGAGAGCAGAATTCCACCTGAACCACTGAATGTGAGTTCTTTAGATTTAGGTAAAGTTTCCCTTAGCAGCTTGAGGGAAGAGAATCCCCTCAGGCTGTGGCCCTTGTGGCTGAACTTATTGCTGGTAGCAGTGGAGTTGCAATCTCTGATTAGGACAGCCATTACTTAAGGGGCAGCCACTGTAGATAACAGAAAACAGATAACAACACGTACACACACACACACACACACACACACACACAGAGAGAGAGAGAGAGAGAGAGAGAGAGAGAGAGAGAGAGAGAGAGAGAGAGAGAAAGTCAAGTGGCAACAGGATATTACAGATGCTAAAACTATCCTAAGGTATTCTGAATAAACTTACCCCAATAAAACTGAAAGTTTAGATGGAATGAAATAATCCCATGAAACCATGATAAACACCTCCCTCAATGTATTAAATAACCAAAGCATGAGACCACAGAATGCAGGCTTTATTTTCAAAAAAACCAACTACAAGCAATACAGCTATACCCATAAAACCCTTAGAGGAAGTATAGGGCTAATTGTGACAACTTTGTTGTTTTGCTATAACATCTAAAAACCTCAGGGACAATCACTGAAACAGTAGAGAAGCCAGGCCTCATGTGCATTGTAATTGTATTACACTTGATTTTGCCACTGTCCTACATAATTCCATTAAAACTATTGGGCATCAAAGAAAGAGAAGCAGATCACAGAACTGAAGAAAATGTTTATAAGTCACATATCAAAGGGACATCTAGTGTCTAGAATATATAAAAACAAGGGGCCCAACTAAAAATGGGCAAAGACCTTTTTACAAGAGAAAAGATACCCATGTGGGCAATAGGCACATGGAAAGAGGCTAATGTCACTAGACATTAGGGAAAAGCAAATCAAAATCTAAATGAGATTCGACACCTGCTAAGATGGCTGTGATAAACGGAAAGGAAAATAACAAGTGTTAGGTGGGGATATGATGAAACTAGATCCCTCCTTTATTCCTGCATGAAAATGTTACCAGATTTCACTGAGACCCAACCATACCAACCCTTGGTGTTTATTTTCTGTACAGTTGACCCAGTTGGATGCCCTCTGAGGCCACTCATGATTGTTTTAGATACGACCAATCTTATTAAACACTCTTTCCCTTCCCCATTCTCCTGCAAATAAGACATTTTCAGAATTACATATTGAGTGATGCTTTCCACCATAAGGGATTCCCAAGGTCAATGAGTCATTCTATGCTTTCCTTTACCACAAATCTTTTTTTCTTGCTTTTGTTTCTAGCCTTTCACTCTACATTGTACTGATTTCTTCACCCAAATGGCTGCTGCCTACTTTAATTTACCTATTAAAAAGTCTTGTTGAGTCCCTCATGTACCAGGTACTACTCTGTTAGACACTGAAAATGGGTTTTGCCTGCTCCTTTATAAGCTGTGGCCTGGCGAGGGTGTGAATTATATGGGACAGTGGTATAACAAAAGCAAATATAACGCAGTTGCAGTACAGATCTTTCCCCTAGAAGCTCTGTCCCTATGGGAGTTCTGGTTCATAAAGGCTGTGGGACAGGGGCTAGGGAGATGACTCAATGGATAACATAATTGCCTTGCAAGTGTGAGGACCAGATTCCACCTACCACACATGTAAATGTCCAGCAGGCATGGCAAGGGCAAGCTGGCTACATAGACTAGCCAAATTGGTGAGCTTTGTTTTCAGAATGAAACACTGTCTCATTAAACAATGTGGGGAGTGACCCAGGAAGGCACCCAGTGGCAACCTCTGGCCTCCACTTGCACATTAACATGTAAATATGCACTCCCACATATAGATATACACATGCAAAATAAAAAATAAAAAATAAAAAAGGCTGTGTGACACAGGCAAAAAGTCAGTTTTCTTAAGTGAATACAAAAACCATAACTTGAGTTTGCTGTGAAGATGTAAAGCTCATAGACAGCTTATTCCTAGTAGATCTTTTTCCCTGTATGATCACAGGCCTTTAAGCTTAACTTGGACTTGATTTTGATACCACATTCATTGCTCTCATCTCCCTAGGCTGTGTACCAAATCTAGGGACATATGCATACCAGAAAGGCATGCTGCCACTGAGTTAGAGCCACAGCCTTCATGACAGTTGTGCTAAGTCGCCCAGGATGACCTTGAACCCGAGACCCCAACTCACAATCCTCTGTCAGTGTTCCAAGTAGTTATAGACCTGCCTAGTGAAAATGGTTTGTGAATTAAGACTGTTCCCTTTGAAAGATATGCAGGTTCCTCATCCCATCCATGCTTTGGGCATCTGATAGCCTAGAGACTTAGACATCCCCAATATACTTACTTTCTTTGCTACAATTCAGGTATTTGGGGACATTCTTTTTCTGGATGCACTGTATTTTCCTCTGGTAAATGACAGTGTAGTCACCAATGCACTTCCCAAGGTTGTATGTGGGAAAGAGCAGCAGTGCGTTGAGCAGGAAGGTTTTGGTGGTGTTAGACATGGTGGTTGGTAATTCTAAAAGGTGACAAGAACAGGTTATGTAAGAGGAAACGAACCACCTCCATGATAAGACGTCCCCTAGGAACTATCAAATCAGGCTCAGGGAACTGAAACCCACATGATTATCTTGCTAACAGGTTTTGGCATCGTTTACAGCTTGAGTTTGTGCTGATGATTACAGAATTCTGGAAAGTCTTTTTGGTGAAGTAGAGCTACCTGTGGCTAGTATTTCCTCTACGAAAAGAATTTTAGCTAACTACTTGATGCTCATAGTATATTTCCGATTTTCTACCTTTTCTGAAATCTGGTTTAGTAAATTGCACTTTAAGAAGTACAAGTTTTTGTTTGTTGGCCCAAGCTTGTCATGTGTATGAGGACATTTTTTCCTCCCTCCCTCCCTCCCTCCCTCCCTCCCTCCCTCCCTCCCTCCCTCCCTCCCTCCCTTCCTTCCTTCCTTCCTTCCTTCCTTCCTTCCTTCCTCATGAAACAATGTGTTTGCTTCGTAGGTACCATTTGTCAACCTCTCCCCACTGTCTTGTCCATCAGTCCTAAGAAAGGTGTAGAAAAATCTTCTTTTATGATAGTGTGTTTTTGCAGCTACTTGGAGTAGTTCTGGAAATTCTGAGTATGTTTACTTCCTGATTATATTGTCAGGTAAATAAAATTTTAGAATTCTTAGCAATTTATGCTAAAGTGAATCTGTTATCACGTTGTAATCCTCTGTGTCTCCAATAATTTTAACATGAAAATACATTTGCTCATATTACTGTAACAGCTCAAGTTTTCGTTTTCCATATACACATCTTTTGTGACTACTTACTTTGTGTATGTTAGTTTCTGAAACCGTGCTTCTTGTAAACAGCATGAACCTAGAACTCGGGCTGGGAGAATCCATTCTGCCAACCTTGTCATTTATCTAATGATCCTGCTTTGTCACTTAGCTCTAGTACTGGTGTTCTGGGCTAATAATTACTGTCCCATCTCTCTCTATCTACTGTTTCCCACTTCCCTCTCTCCTCTCCCCTTGCTTCCTCCTTCTGGACTGGACACATTGTGCTTTGCAAGTTAAACTTTAAGGTGTTGCTCTAGCGGTGACACTGGACATTCAGAAACGTCCCTTTCTGGTTCAGCTTTGGGCTGTGGCTGTGGCTGTGGCTGTGGTATTCCTTTAGCCTCACTTGTTGGAGCCTGGACATTCTAAAGTTTTCAAATACTAATTGTTTGTCCTTTACAATTTCTTTCTAAACTTTATTTGGCTATATATTAGAAACTCTCTAACCTCCAATGATTTTAATTTTCATGTTTTTTGTTGTTTCTGTGTCATGGGATAGCTTAAGTATATTTCTTTTGTGTTAATCTTTAACCTATTCCTTCTCACTTTAACTATGGATGATATTTTAAAACTCTAATCTGCAGAAGCTGTTTTAGCTTTATTTTTAATTGGCTTGAAATAATTGTATATATTTATGGAATAATATATGTTATGATAGATGTACATACTGTGGAATGATCAAATAAGAATAGTTAGAGTATTCCTCACATCAAATATTTTCATTTGTGGTGAGATTATTTAAAATAATCTCTTAAATATTTAATTACGTATTACTATGAAGAATAATTACCTTGATGTGCAATATAACCCTAGAATGGATTCTTCCTGCCTAACCATACTTGAGTTTAAGTATTTTCATTTAAAGGTTTTATTTGTAAATACTTTCCAAATCTATTTGTTTTGAGTGTTTTTATTATTTGTTTATACTCTGAGACTCTGTTACTGCGTACATTTTAAAGTATACACTATATATTTAGGTTTGAAGTATATTCAGGTTTGGTTCTTTTACTTCAGTATTTTCTTTGGGGGATGGATGGATGGCTCAGCAGTTAAGAGCACTGACTAATCTTGTAGAGGACCTGAGTTCAGTTCCCAGTACCCACATAGTGACTTATAACCACCTGCATCTCTAGTTCTAGGGGTTTGATGCCCTGTTCTTGTCTCCAGAGACATCTGTATGCACATAGTATACACACAAACAAGCAGACACACATACACAAAAGTAAAAACAAATGAAAAATTTTAAATCTTATGTATATGGAATTTAACTTTGAGATTATCAGGAAGCCAGGGAATTTGTATATGTTTTTATTATTCACCTGGGACCATAGTCATCTGAAATTATTTAAAACAAACTATCAATGTTTTTTGTTTTTTCTCACATAGTTACTATACTTTTAGAATAAAATGTATGCAAGTACTGATGAATTCTTAAGAAAAATACTTGTTTCTGTATCTATCCAGGTCAAATAATCCTGAGTTTTCTGAAATTGGGTGTAAAAGGTCCATGTAACTACCAGCCTTGTGAGATTTGTCAAAAATGCCAAAAGTACACAATGAAGAAAAAAAAATACAGCATTTTCAACAAATGGTGCTAGAAAAAATGGATGTCTACATGTAGAAAAATGAAACTAGATACGTATCTCTCACCCTGCATTAAATCAATTCCAAAGGTTCAGAGATCTCAATGTATACCCCAAACTCTAAAATTACTACAGAATCATTGAATCTAAACTATTGGAAGTGATAGAGAGGTTCTACTGAGGACCTGAAGCTCAGGCTGGGTCTTCACTTTAATACAAGGATTCTGGGTAGCATGATCATAGAAACTCAAGAAAGATTATTGAGATATACCTAATACAGATGTATCCCAAACTGTCTACTAATGTCCATCTCTTTGGGCCTGTTGCTGCTACTGATTTATTTATTGCTATCTCCAGGGAAGGGGACATTTTGTGAAGTGCTCACACTTACGGGATACTAATACAGTATCTATCAAGATACTGAAAATGCCAGAGACATAATTGAACATGATAAGCTTGATATAGGCAGAGGTGCTTTTAGAAAACAGGAAGCTCATCAGGTATGTGAGGGGAATGGCAGACCATCCAAACAGTGTGAGGATCAGCATTGTTTCCAGAATGTGGTAGTCTGTAACATAAATATCAATTTTGCAGTATTTGAACACAACCTGAAACAGAGGGGACAGAGACAAAAGTTAGGCCAGGGTCTCTCTCTCTCTCTCTCTCTCTCTCTCTCTCTCTCTCTCTCTCTCTCTCTGTGTTTCTCTCTCTCTCTCTCTCTCTCTCTCTCTCTCTCACACACACACACACACACACACCCTAAGCCACAACACTCAAAAAAAAATTCCAAGACTTTAATTTTTTGCCTCTTTGCAGTTAATAGCACCCATAGCTTATGAGCATGGGTTCAGGCCAGGTGCACATTCTCTTCACTAGAGGACATTCCAGCAAGCAGAATCATTACCATGGTCATTTCTTATTTAATTTTTCTCCTTAGAAGAGTTTCTCTAAAGATTCTTACACAGATATTAGACACAAAGCAAAGGGTAACCAGGCTACCATCCACAACCCAGAGAAGCTAGGTAACAAGGAGAGACATGCATGGAATGTCTAGGAAGGGGAAATAGATAAGATCTCTTGAGTAAATTGGGAGCATGGTGAGGGGCGGTGGTGGAGGTAAGGGGAGGTGGCAGGAGAACATGTGGGAACGGGATGGTTGAGTTGGGAGAGGGACAGAGAGGGAGATCAATGAAAGAGGTATCTTCATAGAGGGAGCCATTATGGGGTTAGGGGGAAACCTAGTGCTAGGGAAATTCCCAGTAATCCATAAGGATGACCCCAGCTAAGATTCCAAACAGTAGTGGAGAGGATCCTTGAACTGGCCTTCCCCTGTAATCAGATTGATGACTACCCTAATTGTCATCATAGAACCTTCCTCCAGTAACTGATGAAAGTAGATGCAGAGACGCACAGCTAAGCACTGGGTGGAGCTTCTGGAGTCCAGTCGAAGAGAGGGAGGAGGGATTGTAGGAGCAAGGTGGTGGTGGGGGGGTCAAGATCATGATGGGGAAACCCACAGAGACAGCTGTGACAGTTGGATCTCATGGACTCTGGACCAACAGCTGGGGAACCTGCATGGGACGGAACTAGGCCTTCTGAATGTGGTGACAGTTATATGGCTTGGGCAGTTTGTGGGGCCACTGCAGTGGGACCAGGATTTATCTCTAGTGGCATGAACTGGCTTTTTGGAGCCCATTCTCTATGGAGGGATACCTTGCTCAGCCTCTATACAGGGGGAGGGGCTTGGTCCTGCCTCAACTTGATATGCCAGACTTTGTTAACTCCCCATCGGAAGCCTTACCCTCTCTGAGGAGTGGATGGGGGTGGGAGGAAAGTGGGGGGTGAGCGGTGGGGGGGGCTGTAGTTGGTATGTAAAATGGAAAAAAATCTTTTAAATAAAAAAAAAGAAACTAAAAAAATTCATATACAGAACCAGGAGACTCTCATACTAACGACAGCTACCAGCTTTCCTAGAAAATAGATGATTTCTCTAAACATTTTCCTCATATTTCATCAGTTGCCTCTCATTGATATTCCTTGCTTTTGTAGTTCTAGTCTACTTCTCACAGTCATTCCAGAACCTCCTTCTTTGTTACTTATAATTCACATGGAAAACCAGAAAAGGAAACGTAAATTTAGAGAGACCTAAATTGAAATCTTGTTTGACTGAATCTTCTCCAAAGGCCTGGAAACCACCATTCTACACTCTGATTCTCGGAATCTGACTGTTTTGTATATTTTGTAAAGTAGAATCACACAGTGTTTGGCTTTGGGTGGTTGCTGTATTTTGTGTAAATATCTTCTGCCTTCATCTACAGTAACAGCAAATGTGAGGAGCAACTTCTTTCTAAGGGTAACTGATGCTGCATTGCATGCAGATACCATATTCTCTTTCTCTATGCGTCTGTTGGTGGTCATAAGGTCTCCTCCACATTTTGACTGCTGTGATTAGTATATAGTGAAAGTAGGAAGATGATGTATCTTTGAGATTCTGGTTCTATCTCTTACATCTACGAATGGGATGTTTAATTATAGGGTAGTACCATTGAATACCTTGAGAACGCTGCCATGTTGTTCTTGGCAATATCCATCTTTCTGATTATCACCAACAGGTTGAAAGTTTTCCAATTTTTGGAAAACTACTTAGTTTGTCGTATTTTTTTGTAATAGCTATACTAACAAATATTTGAACAAAGGTTTAAGATAAATTGATGGAGACTTAAAGCTAGGAAAGGTGGCAATAGTCTAGTTCAGAATACTGGGAGACAAAATTTAACACAGCTGGCTAGGATGAAGTATGAAGCACAGTAAGAAGCGTTCTACTTTCAACAGTTTTAGAACTCAGCAAAAGGTTCAAAGGAAACACTGGGAAATCAGTTCAGAGATACACTTGTACTATGACAAAGGAAGGCTACTTCCTTTAATAAAGCACTTGGAAGTTATTTTCTTAGTCTACCTTAAGACTTTTGGATTACTTGTTTATTTAGACAGGTTCTTGTGCACCCCAAGCTGACTTTGAACTAGGTATGTAGTTGAGGATGAACTTGAACTCCTAACCTTCACTTCTCCACCTCCCAAGTGCTGAGATTCCAGATCATCACCACCATTCCAGTGCTGAAATGTGCTTGATAAGATAATGAGCAAAGATTGTTTATTGGCATAGCTATGTTTATGAGAACATCAGTTAGAAGAGGGATTTTTCTTGTGGAACCAAAGGAAAATAAACCCTCACAAACATTGTCTGGCACTCACCAGTAGTAGGCAGCAAGAAATGAAGAAGATGATGAAGTCAAACATGAGAGCAGAAAGCCAGTACACAAGGACAGGGACCCCACTCAGAAACTGCATGTGCTTTGCCTTGGTGGTTCTTTCAGTCACTGTCAGGAGGCAAAAGCCACTGACCAAAAGAGCCATGCCCAGCTGGATTTTTAAGGCAACCACCTTTCCTTCTATACTTCTATAGAAGAAACAAAAAAAGATAAATCAGAAGATGCAGATTTCCATCAATGGCTATTTTTAATCACAGAAATATAATTGGATAGGGTGGGAAGAATGCATTTCAAGTGCAAAAGTAAAAACATGGAACAAAACATACCCTAGACTTTTCTTAGCCTGATTGTATGGCTGAGGTTTATTGGAGACCGTTATGGAAGCATCAGCACCAGAAAGTGACATGAAAAGAATGTTGTCTAAAACTGCCAGGGACAGAGATGGTGAATGGTAAGCTTCATTGTTGAACAGAACAGTAAGCTCTGTTCTATTTGCAACCACCTCCATAGAAAGTGCAATAATACATGAATGGATGCATTCTTCATTTCTCTCCAAGTATTTGAGTAGGTCACCTAGGGCGAAGATACAATACTGGTCAGTGAATCCGACATACAGATCACACTAATGTATGGCATCCAAGAACAAATAATTGCAGTTTTCACCTCATTAAATTTTGTCAAGATAATTATTTCAAAATTTTGCTGTTATCCTTGGGACTTTATTCCATCATTAAATTCCAGGATTTCTCATTGTATTTACTATAACCCAGACTATAATTTTGCTGAGAAAACACAGCCCTATGTAACTCCTTCAACTTACCTACCTGTCTTTAACAGATTGGTAAGAAATGCCACTCACATCACAGAGGTCACAAAACTCTGCTCTGATAAAATGGAAAAACTAGGTGAACAATTTTTAAAATCACCTTTTGAGAATAGGGCAGAGCTAGAAAGCAACAACAGTTTTTGGTCCAGACCCTAAGAGGAATAAAAGCATGGAGGGGAGCCCAACAGTCTGCTCCCTTCTAAGTGGTGGGAAAGCTCCATAAGCCCCCAGTATCCTGCCCTGCACAGTAGTGAGGAGGAGACAGACTAAGCTGGACAAATGTCGTCCAGCCCCAAATAAGGATCACACAGCCCTGCAGTGGGTTGGATGATGCCCACCCACATGGGTATCAGCTTGCAGATTATTTCACTGTGTCTACTGATTGTAACACTGATCTATTCTGGAAATACCCTAATGGGCACACTTGGAAATGGGTTTTACCAGCTATGGGCGAATCCCAGTAAAACTGACATCAGATTCACCACAAGGTGTGTGTAGAGTCATTTATAATAGCACTTCATTATCCTTATTATTTTCAAACCACTTGTCTTCTATTCCCCAATCTATTTCTTAACCCATTTTACAGGCTAGAATTACCTTAACATCCAAGAAATACAAACCTAACATTTAAAGAATTATGTACCCTGAGAAATGGAATCTATCTCAAGAATATAAGGCTGGCTCAATGTGTGAAAACAAATACTATACATGATACCCATTGGCTAACCAAAATTACATACTCAAGTAAGTCTATGAAGAAAAAGTTTAAGGTACAGAAGAACTGGGTCATTTACATATTACTGGGAAAACTTCAGATGTCTTTCAATGAGTGAATGGCTAAATAAACTGTGGTATGCCCATGTGAAAGAATAGTAAGTAGTTAGCCATTAAAGAGACAAACGTTGGATACACACAATTATCACAAAATCACGCTAAGTGAAAATGCCCATTCCAAAATGTTATACACTGTGTGATTCCATTTTTATATCACTCTTGAAGTGATCAATCTACAGAAACAGAGTAGAGACTAGTAGTTCCGGGATAAGGGCGGGACTAGACAGGAAGTTAGTGTGGTAGTGAGGGCAACAGGAAGGAAAAATGTGGTGGAAATGTTCTTTATGTTAACTGTATTTCAATAGCCTGACTCCATTTTCATATTGTAGCTTTGCTAAAGGTTCCATCAGTGCACAATGTGTCTCAATATTTTGTAAATCTAATAAACCACAAAATAAAATATTAGCAAAACAATACAGCTAAATGGTACTTATTCTGACTCTCTTCCACATATAGAGAATAAAATCTATGCAATCCACTTAGTGTATCTTTTGAACACATCCTCTTTCCTCTAGCCCTGTTATTCTTGTTCTGCTGCCTAGACTGCCACTGTAACGCCACAGCTGATTTGACTGTAGTTTCCCCCTTTTTCGGTGTTTTCCCAATATTGCATATGAGAAGATGATGTTGATCTGTATGCTTGTTACGTGACAGGAACTGGGTTAGGAACTAGAGATTCAGAGAAGGTTCTCACCTCCTCACAATTTCTGTTGAGAGGCAGATAACTAATGCACAGTTGCCATTTGGTGTGATGAAGCCCACCAGTGAGCCATGCTTCTAAATGAATGAAGGGGAGGCAGTTTTGTTCTGTCTAAGAAGGCAGGCAGTGCTTCCTAAGTTACTACGATGCTAGAATACTCTTCCAGAGCTCACGTTCTGTCAATTCATGGTGCTGCATTGCTCCCAGAATTGACAGGAAATGAGTCTCAGTGCAAGGTCTGACTTACTTATTGCATTACCTGTAAGTAACTGGGCAGCAAAGCCCCAGAAGTCTCCAAATCAACTATTGCCACTGCCCTTGGTCACCCACCCTAATGTCACAATAAGACCATATCACTGAAGATGCTACACATTTGTCTATAGGACAGAGAAAAATGAATCCCCAATGGACCAGGGACCCCCCCCCCCCCCCCGCTTATTGGCTAGCCTTCGTAGTGCTAGCAGGTGCTGTAGAGATTGGTGAGGGGAAAAAAGACAATGGTCTACCCCAGCACTGGACTGCATGCTACAAACTGACCTATCAGGCAAGATATAACCACTGGTACAGTAGTGCCATGATTGTTATGGGGTAACTAATCACTTTGTGATTGGATTTGAGATCGGCTCCACAGGAGGGAATTTCACGCATAGTACTGAATTACTGGTCAAAAGCCCATGGAGTGGGAGGTCCAGATAAAACGTGCTATTTTTATTTTGCTAAATAGTCATACTGTCAAATTAATGTCTAAATATTTACGTTTAGACCAATAGACCTGAGGTCACTCAGCCTTGACCAGAGAAGCTTCTTTTTGCAGTGGGCACCAGTCAAGGGGAAGATGCACAGCTGGTAATTTTGCTGAGAATAAGAGATTGCATGCTCAAGCCTAAATATGGGGCATCTATATTAACCCTCTAACCACAGCTCAGGGGATATCTCGGAGGAGGAGGCAGAAAGAGTGCAAATGCCAGAGGATGGGGAGGAGTGCTATGAAACGCTGTCTTTTAGACACCACGTGGCAGTTGCACCCATGGACTCACAGCAGCTGTGATCGCCTGCACAAGACCTTCACAAGATCAAGCCAGTCAGAATTCCAACACAGATGGGGTAGATGATCTCTATACCTCATACTTTACTGAGGAGCTATTAGCAATTAATAGTTTCTAGGGGACAGAAATTACTTTTTGAGTGTGTGGCCACTGGTAGGCTTCCCATGGTCCAGAGGCTGGTTCCACGCATGCACATATGGGAAGCACTAATTGGTTTAGTGGGTTATAAAGAAAAATATTGTTGTGAGAGGAATATGTTGGGAAGATATGTGAGGAATTGGAGGGGGAAAATAGGTGGTTTATATTTTTGTATTTTGTTGTACATCATTATGAAATTCTTAAGAATTAAAAATATTTAGTGTTGCTAAAGCATAGATCATTTCAAAAGAAAAGAACAGATCCAAAATTACCTAGAATCTATTTCCCCACTGGAAAACATTTTTCTATTGTCTATGGCAAAGAAAGCAAGTTCTAAAGGATTTAATGTCAATTCTTTATCATAAACAGCAAATTTTATATGCATTTTTAAATATAGAGACAATACAAAACTTAATAAAACATACTTATGAAAGGTCTGTGACTAAGATAATTAGAACAAAATTTAAAAATTGATGTGTCAATTTCTTAAAAGAAAGTTGGGTTGAGAAAGTATAAAGATATTTCTCTGTACTTGACTAAGTTTCAGCAAAGGAACAGATATTAACATTTCATTGAAGGCAGGTGATAATGGTGGGTCTATTATATTATTCTGTTGTGTTTCTACCCTTGTTCTTAATAAAATATAGCATATTCAGTTATTTATTTGATGTTTTAATGTACAAAACATCCTTCAATCTAACCAATCTTTTCATGAGTCACGATACTGCTTTCATCTGGTATCTTTTCCGTGTGGTTTTGGTTAACAGCTGCTTATTTCTTTCTCTCCCTTTCCCCGTCAGCCTCTCCATGTGGGCCTCATGCATAGTATTCAAGTTCTATTCCACTGAACTAAATCCTATGCCTTGTTTGAGTCTCACTGTGTAGCCCAGACTGGCCTTGAATTTGTGATTCTTCTTTCTCAGCCTCCAGGTAGAAGGGATAAGTTCAGCTCATCTATTATTGTGAATAAAAGGATTGCTCAAATTAAATGACAAGTATTCTGCAGAGAAAATGTAAAATTTATTGCTGTGTTTTTAGTACCCTGCCCTGACAGTCTTCAGGATTCTTGTTTTAGGTATAATTAATAGATTTTCTGCCTCCCCCCCCATAATAAGTTTGTCCACCAACACAGTAAGCCAGATCAAGCCAAACAGAAGTATAACAGGTATATTGAGCAAAGTAACTCCCAGGCAGGTTCACTGGCCTCAAAGAATGAGGCCAGAGAAGTTGTGCCCTGAAGTAAAGCAGGGAGATTTTATAGAGTGTAGGTGAGGAGTGATGATGTGTCTGCCACAAGCTGTGTTTGTGCCCAAGTCTGGTCAAAAGTTGAGCACTTAGGTGGGGACTTGGGAGGCTGGTGGCATCAGGGAGGAAGCTGCAATAGTTGCCAAGAATGCAGAACTGGGCTTTTGGCACCTTTCCTTTGTTTGGAGACTCTCTGGGCAGGCGAGGTTTGGAGAGAGAGAAAGAGATAGGAATGGGGCTTCTCAGACTGTACAGAGGCAAGCTGGAGGTTCCAACTGAACAGTTATCACTACAAGAAAACTGAAGTTCAGAACTGGAGGCCACAACTTCATGCTGTCTTTCATTGTGCCCAAAAAGTACAACTGTGCTCAATTTCATAAAACTTGTACTTGGGCACCTCCTTTTATCTATCTATCTATCTATCTATCTATCTATCTATCTATCTATCTATCTATCTAGTGTGTTTAACTAGAAAGAAACAGTAAATGCTCACAGTCAAAGTGCAACCAATACCAATTAACTTTTGAGACCAGTAGCTTTAATAAGGACATTGCTATTGTTTAATTTTCTCTGTGGTATAATGGGTGTCAGGAAAAGAATGGACCAAGTTAACATGTTATATTATGACTTTTCTTTGGAAGTGACCCAGGGACATCATTGAAAAGACAACTTTCTGTTTCTTTCTAAGTTAGTGTCACCTTGTACTTCCTTAAGCTTGTGGTTGCCAGGTTTTAGCATATTCTCAAGGTGTGTTAAGAGACTTGTCATCAAATTAGATTTCCCAGAAGTAGAAAAAGGCACAATAGTTTGACCATATTCATCCAAATTCATTAGCCTTGTTTTCTCATCTTCATAACTAAGGTCATGAGACTTCAGGAGAAAGAGAGCAGAGATGACAAGTCCCAGTATCTGCACCAAAAGTATATTCCAGTTTCGCCAATTGTACATCATCCTCTTTATGAACATGGCGTGGAACTGCTGACAGTAGAGGGAACACTAAGCAAAGAGGAGAGAAAGAGCATTACCGCAACCCTTAGACCTCAATACATCATTCACACTGATATTCATTGACATCGATGTTCTGAATTTTTGTGGTGTGAAAGTTTTATGGCATAAATACACACAATTTAAGCACACACAGCTTATGTAAGTAAATAAGTTCTTGGAGGAGTCCCCAAACATATAATGTGGCACCAAATAATATGATCATCCATTTAGTCTAAGGCAAGGGACAACAAACCATGGCCTTTTTATAAATAACTCTTTACTAGAATGCAGCCAAGCATATTGTTCCTATACCCTTGTGGCTGCTTCTTGTGCAATGATAGTTGAGTGATGGTGACAGAGACCATGTAGTCTACAGAACCCTCAACATTTGTTATCTCTTTACATTGACTTGTCTGACTTCTGACATAGCATAGTATGTGAAGTGCTTAAGTTTAATGTATATGTTACCAAAAATGGCAACAGGATGATTTTTCCTGACTGCTGGAAACTACTATGACTAGGATGTGTTATAGATGCAAAAACCAGGAAGGAAATGCTTGGCAGCCCAAACGGGCTTTTCATGGTGAGGCCCTCACTGATTTGGAAACAATCTCATATACAGAAGCTACTCCTCTTGAAAGACTTAGAACTCCCAGTTGATAATTTGAAAAATCAGTCTTCCTAGTATGCTATGCCAACTTGAAGGAGCAGATAAGTTTCTGGGTTTTCAATGTGGGAAAAAAATAAGAAAACAAGAACTGTAGAATAATGGTAGTGACAATAAAAAGTGGATCTGTCTTTCTGGAGTCCATCCCTCTGCATTGAAACACTCATTAGGCTGGGGTCCCAACTGCTTCACACCATGTTGGTCCTGCAGTGGCTGAGAACTCTACATTCTTTTGGTTTATGTATTAATACAAAAAGAAACTCTTGAATCCTAACTCTTGCTTCAGACACCTGTTTCTTAGCAAAGGTTCTTACCCCAGTGTTTAACACGGTGGGCGGGTCTTCACTCTGGGTGGGAAAGCCTCCCCTCGTGCTTCTTGGAACACCCTTATTTTTGTTCTCTTTGCTTCCCACTGTGGGAGACTGAGTAGCTTGGATATCTTGCATGTGACTGACCCTATATTAAAAAACAAACAAAGCTGGTCATTTCAACTTATCCCACTATCCCTTGCTTGAAGAATGTGAGTTGCAACCCCTGACTCCAAAGGCCTCTTGGGTTATTGTTTAATGGTGACCCAGTAAGTAAGAGTGATGTTAGTTCCCAAACACCAGCACACCTCCAACCCTTGTCATGCTTAAATTTCTAACGTGTACAATCTCCAAGTTTGTCAAGAGTCTTTCCCTCTGAGGATTTCCCTTTTCCTGTATACACTTACTAACCTAAGGAAGACTTCTTCCATGGTAGTGATAGAGACGCCAAAACTAGAAATGCCAAGTCTCTCCTGATTCTCTTCCAGAGCAGTAAAGAGAGCTTCAAACCTCAAGTAGGAGAAGAAAACAGGCTTGGACTAAAGGAGATGATTTTCCTACTTAATTCTTTTTATTTGAAAGTGATATCCCCTCACCAACACTTCAATGCTTATTATAAATTCATGCTTCTGTTCTGTTAATTCAGAAAGGTGAGACAAACAGACAAAGCAAGACAACAACAAACTGTCATAGTAGATTGTTTTCCATGATACTTTATTCTTGGCTACATATAATTTTGATTTTCTAATAAAACGATTAAGATATTCTATGAGGAGCTTGACAGTTGATGGCTGACAGTCAAAGGAGAGTCACTATTCTTTGGAGGCATGGCCACTGTAAGGTTGTACGTGGATCACACACTGTTGGATCACACACCAGCTTGGCCACTGTAAGGTTGTACGTGGATCACACACTGTTGGATCACACACCAGCTGCCTATTCCTGGTGGATTTTTGTCATCTTCACTCCAAGAGCCACCATTTAAACTGTCCTAGTTATTTTTCATTATATTTTTGAGACAGTGTCTCACTTTATGGCTCATGTTGGCAACAAACTCATAATCCTGTTTCATGTCTCATTCTAGGATTGCAGGTATGTATCACCATACCTAGTTTTGAAGGCTGTTATTATGGGGAGTGGTGGAGTTTGTATGCATGCTCTGAGATTGAATTTAGAGCCTTGTGCATGCTAGCAAAGCACTTTACCACTACCCTTTCATTATCTTAGTACTTTTCTTCACTCCATGTACGAGTAGTCACATTGACTCTATTTACAACAAAACACTCAACATCACTAGTCAACCCTGGGAAGCTATAATAAGCAGGTGACATCTGTCTCTTCAGTGCAAGTGGCCATTATAACAGAAGTTTTGACTCCTTAAATAAACAATATTTGCTAAGCCAGAAGAAACAAGGAAAAACAATTATTTATAAGTCTTTAAAAACCAACTGGTTAGCATTCTCTATAGCCATACCTCTGAGTATATTCTAGAGGTAGAATAAAAGATAACTCATTTCCAACATTAGTCTTCAGAGTGGCTGTTGATGCATAGTCATGGATCAGTTTTGAGATTTCATCAGTGTCACAGTGAGGTTCCTTCACCATGACTACGTGGTATCCAATACCTGAGAAAACACATTCAGAAAAGCAAATTGAATGGTTTTGTACTTCCCATATTCTCATGAGGCCATACCTGCTTTCTGTGGTTTGGATAAACTAGAAGAAGATAGAGTATGTCACAAGTTATTTGACTACAACTCTAAGAAGCACAGCATTGTGCAATATGGTCATAATTAATGATATAATTGTAAATAGGTCTACAAGGGATTAATGATGTTCTGGATTATAAAATCAGATAGAGCAGAGATAACATTAAAAGCTACCTGACCTCTCTTTCTACTGATGCTGAAATTAGGGAAATCAAGATTAATATTCATTGAACAGATGATTCCTGGGTCCATGTTATACGTCAGAAACTACATAAATTGAATGACATTTATTCCTTCAGAGATTTTCACAGCAGAGAAATCTTTGCTGAATATTCTATGTTTACACTCTGTCATCATCTCCTCCCCACTACCCTGCACCTCCTCCTTTTTCTTCTCTCACTGTTCCACTTTAGACTCCTCTTCTTTCTCCTCCTTCTTCACAAATCTTCCCAAAGGTGTGGGAAATCCCTCCATGGTACTCTAGGATCTGTGCTCCTAGCAATGACATTCTGGTACCCTAGGCTTGGGCAGCAGAACTAAGGGAAGTACCTCTGGGATATCTGGGCCCATCACCTGACAAGAGTCCTTTGAGAAAGGAAGGGGGAAGGGAGGGAGAGAAGGAGAGAGGGAGCACAAGAGAGCAAGTGAGAAGCAGGGTACTGAAGAAATTAATGAGGTGGGTAAGGAAATCAAGGAGGATATGCCAGAGTCAGAAGGCCTGTGATTGGGTCACAGCCTGAAGGGAGTACCATCTTCCTATATGTATGGAAGCTCATGTCTCAAGCTCTCTTAACAGTAACATTCTGTTTCCTTCCTAAAACATTTGAAGACAATGATGAGCAGAATCCACACAAAGCTGTACCACATTGCAGGATTGCCCAAATATAGATTCTGTTGACTTTGTCTTTCATAAACATGCCTGACAAAGATAAGGTTATATGCTTCTTTGAGATAAATATTACATACTTTAGTTTCTACTGTCATTTTGTTCATAAAAATTATAAACTATGCCAATAAATAAGCAAGTATATATAATAAACATAATACTATATATTATGGAAAGTTAGAAGCAGAGATTGGCCTAGATGTAGAAATTACAGGATAAAGACAGTAAAATACCATGATAAATATATTAACCAATCTACTAGAAATAGGAAAACAAGGTGTTATGTCAATCAGACATTTTTCAGACTAATGAAAACTATAAAAGAAAGCCAATGGGAACAGCAGAAAAGTACAAATAAAGGGGTCACTTAATAGTCTCAGTGGCAGAGTAGAAAGAGGAAAAGAAAGAATCAATAACTCTGAAAAAAAAGATCACTAAAAGTGATCCAAATGGGAATTCAAAATGTTAAGTGTAAAAGAACAGAGAAGACCACAAGTGGAAAATCACAGTTATCATGAAGTAGAAAATAATTGGAGAATTCAACATGTCCTTGTAAAATTCCATCCTGAAAAATCAATCAAAATGCTGTCAAACAAAAATTGTATATCCATTGAAAACATAAGAAATGAGGATGAGTTTAGTTCATGGCCCAATGATGTCAGTGTATCCTAACAGAACTTCCACTGTGACCATCGGAAAGAAATGGGCAAATGTGAATGCACAGCTTCAGTTGGCAGACAAGAGGTGGCTGAGGGTGTCCACGCCTGTGAGATGAAGACGAGATGAGATGTGCGATCATACCACTTTTGCTTTGAGGTGCAGCAAAGGGGAATACCAACAGCTTCCAGTGCCACATCTGAATCGAGAAGTTGGAAATCAGAGTGAGGGAAGACTCAGACTACAGCCACAAGTTGTGAAGATGATTTGAGTGCAGAGCTCTGCAGCGAAATAGCTCTGAAACCAGAACTAGAGAGACATGCATGTGTGGGAACCTGAGTTTGAATCCCTGGCACCAACATAAACATCCAGCATGTCATGCATGCCTCTAACTTTAGAGTGGGAGGGTGAAGACAGGTAGATCCTGGTGCCTATAACCCCAGAGTTGGAGGGTGAAGACAGCCAGATCCTGGGAGATCATTATGTGATTCTGGTTCACTGAGAGACTCTGTCTCGGGAATAAGGCAGAGAACAATAGAGGAAGATGCCCAGTGTCTTCCTTTGGTCTCTATGTGTGAGCACATAAGCATGTACACCAGTACACACACAACACGTACACACACAAATAAACATTAAAAGAAGTAATCACAGAAACCTTATAAGGGTGTCTCCGTTAGTCTTTGCTGAGTGACAGGGTATATAAACACCAAGAGGAATTCTATGTGATTGGATTTACATTTTTATCCCTTTATCACCTCACAAAAGACTAGAGCTCACATAGCTAAACCAAAGTGGAGAACCAGTGATGATCATCCAGGATATTTAATGAAGACTCCATGGGGCTCATGCTTTGGCAGTAGAACTGAAATATGCTTAGTGGATGGTAACCTAGACACACATTAGAAAAAGTAAAAAGTGGGTCTCGATGAACAAAATGCTCCAACTGGATGTTGGAAGAGAGCACAAAATTCTTGAAAGATACATCCTCAACAAAAGTCTACATATTCAACAACACAGCATATAAGCTTTAGCAGCTGGTCAAAAGGTTCTGGGTACATAAGTAGCATGAAATGATGCTTAGCCAGGGATAAAACAACACAGAGGTGGACCCAGAAGCTAAGGCATAGCAGAAAAGCAAAACCTGAGAGTTCACCAGCGTTAGGCATGTCTAGAGACCTCTCACAGGTCTTCACAGTGAAAAAAGAGAAGCTTCACAAAAGACAGAAGTAGGGAGTGCTCTGACACAGCAGAATGCCCATTCTTTTGTGACCATGGGACCATCTCCAGAATAGAACACAGAACTACAAATCAAGTATAGATTTTAAAAGATAGGCAAAGGATCTTTTTAGACAAAAACATGGTGAAGTTAAAAATCAGTAACAGAAAAAGGCTGGGGACTTCAGAATTGTGAGGGAATTAAACAGCATACACCAAAGAGCCAAAAAAAAAAAAAAAAAAAAAGAAAGAAAAAAAAAGAAAGAAAGAAAAAAGAAAATCACCAGGAAAATTAGAAAGTTATCTACCCCCCTCTGATTTTTATTTCTATAGCTCTGTATCTACTCACAATCTCACTGATGGACAATTGCATTAGATCATATTTATCTAGAAATCATATGAGAGAAATGAGTGTCAGCACCAGACAATACAAAAAACACAGAAATGGGAGATAATTTTGAAGAAAATAGAACCACCATTCAAAGGACTTACAGCTGAATGTTAGTTGAATACAGCATAGGGATCACTCAAGTTTTGACTATATATACAAAACTAATAGGAATTAGGTTAAAAGAATATTATTAAGGCAACAACCACCCTAAGAATAATCAAATGAAATGGACCATATTGTCTTTTCAGGAAGACAGAAGAGCCGCAGCACCGCAAGGTTCCCTGGACCATGATAGCAATGCGATCTCCCAGCACATCAGCTTCGTCCATGTAGTGGGTGGTCAGCAGGATGATACGGTCCTGTTTATAGGCTTGAAGGCGATCCCAGGTGGCCCTCCTTGAGGCTGGGTCCATGCCGGATGTTGGCTCATCAAGTATCACCACCTAGAGACAGAACAATTCTATGACTATGTAAAAATGCACTGGTCCCACGGGTGTCCTACCACTGCTGGGCTTGTTCTTATTTTTATTTTTAAACCAAATGTTCAACTGAGCAAAGATAGTAAGTTTACATAAAACTAGGACTTCTGTACTAAAACCAAATCCATGGTCATTTTATACCAATGAGGTTGACAGTGTGAATTCCATCTGAGCTGCTTTCAGTGTTAAAATCTATGTCAGCTTTCAGGTTTGTGTCACTGGATATTTAAATCAGCCACAGTACAGAATTCGTTTGTCCCCTTTACCTTGGAGCCCCCTATCAGTGCTATAATGATGGCGAGTTTGCGCTTCATTCCTCCACTCAGTGACTTCGAAAATGCGTCATGTTTTTCCAGCAGGTTAAAAGTTGACAGCATGTTGTTAGTTTCCTCAAGATACACCTTTTGAGGTACCCCTTTTACCTAAAAGAAGGAGGTAGAGCTTGTATAGCACTTTCAACTTTAGTCTTAGAAGTTTCTTTAGAAAATCATTTTCTGTTTTTGAGATTTCTATATGTGTATATAATGTATTTTGATCGTATCAATCTCTCCCCTCCTCTTCTGACCCCTCTCAGCACTCCCTACCATGTTTCCCTCCCAACTGCACACTGACTTTCATAACCCACTGAGTGAAGTCAGTGCTGTCTGTCTGTGGATGCATGTGGGGCTGTCGACTGGAGCATGAGTCACCTACCAGCAGCCACCTTTCTTATTCAGCAGCAATCAACTGCCAAAGCTCCTCATCCAGAGGCAGGGCTTTATGAGTCCCTCTACAGTCTATGCTGGGGTCTTGACTGGCTCTATCTTGCGCAGGCAAGCCCAGCCGCTCTGGGTTCCTGAGCATAGCTGTCCTGAAGTAAGGTTTCACTCCAGTCCTCCTGACCTCTGGATCTTACAAATATCTCACAGTAGCTCCTTCCTCACATCAACTCCAGAGTCGTTTATCCCCCTTTCCATTCCTTAAGTTTAGAGGAAAATTAATCTAAAATCATTTCTTAAACTTTATAAGAGTAAGAATATTGGTAGTTGGTGATCTGAATGAATGAGGAGGAAAAGACCTCCTTGACTCACCCTACAGTAGAAATAAAGGTGTTCTGATACTGTCAAGTGATCAAACAACAGGTTCTGCTGAGGACACAAGCCCAAGGATTTCCTGATTTGTGCCATATTCTGTGAGATGTCATATCCGTAAACATAGGCCTCTCCTCTGGTTGGGGGATAGAGACCTAGAATCAGGCAGATTATCAAACAGAACAGCTTTTGTGAGAAAACATGCTCATTAGCAACTTGGCCAAAATCTCTACATGGTTTGTTCACTAATGTTGTAGATTACAAAAAAAATATTCGTTGGCCACTTTTGGGATCATATTAGAAATAGTTTACAGCATTTTTCCTGTTTAATCTGAATATTGTGTTTTTTATTATTTAGTGGAGAAGGGATAATAACTTGGAGTAATAAAGGTATGAAAGTGTAACATAGGGACAGTCTAGTACCACCACCAGCCACTTGTCAACAGTTACTATTTATAGTACAGCCTGTTCACAGCAATAGATTCGGGCACACACCTTTTAAACTGGAAAACCCACACCATAAAACTGTTATCCTTGAAGAACTTAAATTTTGCTTGGAATAAAAAAGTACACAGTCACCTAAAATAATTTCAAAATGGTTCAGATGGTAATACAGCCTTAGGCAGCTGTAATGAGTGGTTAATTTTAATAAGGAGAAATATCATGTTAAATGTGATAACTCAAATCTTTTTCGAGAAAGGATCTTATGTTGCTCAGAGTGGTCTGTTGAACTCCTGGGCTCAAGAGATCCTCCTACCCCAGTCTCCCAAGTAGCTGGGACTGCAGGCTTGCTGGATTCCCTATCAATAAATTCTGTTTGAAAACAGCCAGAGTGACCATGGTCATAAAGTGCCCCTGTTGTCCTGGAATCTGATCCCTTTTCATGATTGTTACAAAGTTTTCATAATAAACAAATTACCCTAATTTTAGTTGTTCTAAAATGAAACTATCATTTTCTGACATCTAGTTTTTATCATGGACCTTCCACTCCTGGGTTTAGTAATTATAAAGTATGCCTCTATGCTTCTAGTCAGATTTTGTTTAAAAGTTTGTTTTGTCTGACATTTGGATTTCCACTCCAACTTTCTTACCATTGCTATTTGCATGATACAATTTCTTTTTACTGTCAATGTATTTCCACTTTAGCATTTAACCTGTGTCTCCTAAAGAAAGGTATTATAGTGATGAAGCTTAATATTTTATCCCATCTGGCAATCCTTTTTTACATAGACCAATGATCTGAATTTTTAAGTAATTTTATTTTTGAGAACTTCATATATGAACATTACCTCTGTACATCACTTCCACCCCCATTTAGCTCCTTCAGTATCCCACTCCCAAATTCATGGTGTTTTGTTATTGTTACTTGCACATGCACATATACACACATATGTATAAATGTATGTATATATGTATATGTATATGTATATATAAGCTACCAAGACCACTTTGCTTTGCCCATATGTAAGTGTCCAGTGCTGACCACTTGGGATTGAACAACTGATGTATGAGCTCTTCTCTCCATCTCTCAGCAGTTATTGACCACCTGTAGCTTTTTGTATAGGGATGGGACCATATGGAATTTCCCCTGTTTTCATTAGCATGTCAATTCATTGTGCTAGTCTTGCTCAGGTAACCATGTTGTTGAGGGTCATGGTGTCATGTCCAGGGGGCATGAATAGCATATTTCCTGGGCCTCTGGCTCTAAACAATCTTTCTGCTCTCTTTTCCTCAATTTTCTTTGAGCCTTAGATGTAGGAGTTGTGTTGCAGGTGTATCAGTCGGGGTTAGCATTTTGTGCAGTTGTGGACTTTCTGTAATAGAATCCACATGTTGCACAAAGAATTTTCTTTGGTGAGTGGCAAAAACTACACCTATCTGTGAGTATAAGGGTGAGTATTTAGAATACAGTTAGAAATTTTGTTTGCTTAGTAAAATGGTGGTAGTAGGTTTTCCTATAGGATCCATAGCCTCTCCAGCCATGGGTAGTTGGCTAGGTGTACAGTACCAGGCAAGAATTCCTGTTGTGCAGGCCATACTGCTGTGGGATGGTCTGTATGTCAAATGTGTTGCTGATTGGTCAATGAATAAATCACTGATTGGCAGTGGCCAGGCAGGAAGTATAGGCGGGACTAACAAAGAGGAAAACTGAGAGAACAGGAAGCTGGAGGGGGAGACACTGCCAGCCGCCATCAGGATAAGGAAGATGTAAAGTACCGGTAAGCCACAAGCCACGTGGCAAGGTATAGATTAATAGAAATGGATTAATTTAAGCTGTAAGAACAGTTAGCAAGAAGCCTGCGGCAGGAAGTATAGACGGGACTAACAAAGAGGAAAATTGAGAGAACAGGAAGCTGGAGGGGGAGACACTGCCAGCCGCCATCAGGATAAGGAAGATGTAAAGTACTGGTAAGCCACAAGCCACGTGGCAAGGTATAGATTAATAGAAATGGATTAATTTAAGCTGTAAGAACAGTTAGCAAGAAGCCTGCCACGGCCATACAGTTTGAAACCAATATAAGTCTCTGTGTTTATTTGATTGGGTTTAAGCGGCTTGGGACTGGCGGGTGAGAGAGATTTGTCCTGACTGTGGGCCAGGCAGGAAAACTCTAGCAACACCATACATTCAACCAGACAGCAGTTGGCTACCCCCCAGATAAAGTGCCACTATTGTACCCTCGGGACCTCCTGTCATGAGGGCCATTGTTATGGCTCATGCGCTTTACATTTGGGTAGGGCTTTTCTCCCTTGACAGCTTGCATATCCCCTTCTGATACTGTGAGAGCTAGTCCTAAGGAGGAGGCTGATGGGTCCGTCCCAGGTCATTGCCTTCAAATCCTGTGTGGTATCTTCAAAAAAAAAATATTATACTGAGTGAGGTAATCCAAACCCAGAAAGACAAATGTGTATGTATAACCTATAGTAACCCTAGAAACCAGGACAGTAAAAAGGGACCGGAGGTCAGGAAGGAGTGCCAGAAGGGGGGAAAAAGCAGGACACAGGTGCTATGAATGGGAGAATGGGAAAAGGTGGGGAAGGGATTCAACTATAGGGGGAGAGAGAGGCAGGTGGAAAAACTAAACACTAAGGATATTTCAAAAATACATAGGGAATCATATTAGTTTGTATTTACATAAAATTATATATATATGATATGATATATGTGTATATATATCATTTTATTTTAAATGAAGTTATGCCATTTGGGATAATAATGCTCTTCCAGGATCAGGTCTGAGAAACCCTATCCAGCATTTTCTGGGGCATCTAAGAGACACCTGAAACAACACAGGCCATTGCTATTGTTCCTGCATGCCTCCTGGATTTTGAAGCAAATAATCCATATTTAATACAATTATTGATGCAGCTGGGTTTCCAGCTGCCACCTTCTTTTGACTTTTGTGCCTGTGTTCTTTAGTCCTCTAAGTCCATTGGTGCTTTCTTTTGCATTGAGTAAACATTTCTACCGTAATATTTTTATTCTTTCATTCTTTCCTCACTATTGCTTGTTTGTTTGAGATAAGGTCTCATGCAACCCTAGATGCCTTGAACTTGGTATGTAGTAAGGATGACCTTGAACTGCTTATCTGCCTGCATCTACCTCTTAAGCACTGGGTCACAGGCACACACCCTCACTCTTGACTGCCAATGGGTTTTGTTTATCTTTATAGTTGTTTTGGAGCTATTTCAAATTCATAGTAATTTAATTCCAGAGAAGTGAATGATTGTGACCTCTGTATAGCTCCCCTGCCCTTCTTTCTGATACTATTGATTACACATGGTATCTGTATGTGTTACCACTATAATGTAGTAGTATATTTTGTTTATTAAGGGAACAGTAAAAATATATTAGTAGAGACTTTTACATGTCCCTTCTTCTTTAACACTTGTGGTTGTTTGAATAGGAATGGCTCCAGTAGACTCGTAGATTTGAATGCTTGGTCACCAGAAAGTGGCTCTATTAGGAGGTGTGGCCTTATTGAAATAGATGTGGCCTTGTTGGAGGAAGGGTGTCACTGAGGGTGGGCTTTAAAGTTTTAAATGTTCAAGCCAGGCCCAGTGTCTCTCTCTTCCTGCTACCTGCTGATCCAGATGTAGAACTCTTGGCTGCTTCTCCAGCACCATGTCTGCCTGTGTGCCATCATGCTTTCTGCTATGACAATAATAGATTAAACCTCTAACCTGTAAGGCAGCCCCAATGAAATGTTTTCCTTTATAAGAGTTGCCATGGTCATGCTATGTCTTCATCTCAACAGAAACCTTAACTAAGACAGAAGTTGGTACCAGGGACTGGAGTATTGTTGTGATAGGCCTGGCCATGCTTTTATTTGGAGGAATGTGGACTTTGGGCCTTTGGGTTAGGAAAGCTGTGGAATGCTGTAAGTGGAGCTTACTACTAGGCCATACTAGTAGGAGCATGGGGGACAGTGGTGCTGAGGGTGACTTGAACTGTGGGGGCCTGGCTCAAGAGATTTCAGAATAGAGAAATATTAACATGTGACCTAGAGACTAGTCTTGCGATATTTTGGTGAAGAATGTGGCTTCTTTCTGCCCTTGTCCAAAAAAAGCTGCCTGAGACTGAATTGAAGAGTTTTTGATTAATTCCGTTGGCAGAGGAAAATCTCAAAAAAGCCTAGTATTGACTTTGTCATGTGGTTATTAGTGTTCCTCTTGTGAAGATCTATAATGAAAAGGAGCAAGTTGAGCAAGGAAAAATATGAAGTGTACAGTTTAAGGAGCAAAGGGACCCCAGGAAGTGGGATGGAGCTAAATCCTATGTTCATGGAGATAAGCAGATTAAAGAGAAGCCTGTTGTGAGATGGAATGAAGGGAGCGATGACCTTAGGGCAAGACCCCACTCAGCTGAGTTTCCAACTTGTGAGAAGGAGTGAAAGAAAAATGTAGGCTGGCATAGTAGTTCACACCTTTAATCCCAGCATGGCAGAGGCAGAGGCAGGAGGCAGGAGGCAGGAGGCAGGAGGCAGGAGGCAGGAGGCAGGAGGCAGGAGGCAGGAGGCAGGAGGCAGAGGCAGAGGCAAGCAGATCTCTAAGTTTGAGGCCAGCCAGGTCTACAAATCCAGTTTCAGGAAAGCCAAGCTTAGGTAGTGAAGGAAACCATAAAAACCAGAAAGATGGTGAAGATGTAATTGGATGAGAGGGCCATGTTCCAGTCCCAGCAAGCAGCAGAACTTGGCACCTTCACCCATGTGATTCTGGCTTTAGAGTCAAGGATAGAAGAAAGGGGTTATGGAATTGCCCTAACTAAGGAAAGCCACTGAGGCTGGGCATATGGTAGGGGTGTCCCTGCATGGAGGTCTAGAGAGGCCATTGCGTAAAGCTGTGAAGGCAAAGAAGCCTGGATTGCCCTGGAGGTCCTAAGATGTTGGAGATGCCAGAGCTATGGGATACTTACTGAGAAGAGCTGCTAACAAGGAGTGGAATCAGCCAAAGGGAAAGAAATGTGTTGCAGTCAACAAAGCTGGAAGAGTTGGGAGATCTGAATAAAGAGTGCTTGACATCAGACCTGGATGCAGAGTTTGGAGTTTGCTCAGCTGGTTTTCAGTCTTGCTTTGCTTTGGTGCAGTATTTCCTCATTATTATATATATATATATATATATATATATATATATATATATATATATATATATATATAAAATTTTGATTTTACAAGGGGTTGCAGTTAAGAGATTGCATGAATCTCAGAAGACACTTTGAATTTTGGACTTTTAAACAGTATTGAAACTGTTATAGGCTATTAGGACTTTGAAGTGGGACTGAATACCTTTTTGCATTATGATATGGCTACAAGCCTATGGTGGCCAGGGAGAAAAGTGGTGGTTTTTTAGAATTTACTATAACATGTTAGGTATGGACTTCAATTTATCTTATTGAAGATTTGTTGATTTCTTGCATAAGACATTTGATGTTTTCAACAAATCTGGCAAATTTTCAACTTTTATTTTCTAGAATACTTTTCTCCTGCTTTCTCCTTTTCTTCCCCATCTGACACTGATAATACACATACATTCAGTGCACATAAAGGTGCCTGTATTTCTCTGATGCTGTTAATTTTTCTTTTTCTGTTACTCACATAGTGTCTATCAATTTTTCTTCAAATTCACTGATTATTCTGTCATTTCATACCAACTGTTAATTTCTAATAATGAACTTTTTACTTTGGTTCCTGTACTTCTTCTGTAAGTCACACTTGATCCCTCCTCCTCCACTTCCGTCTCTCCTCCTCCTTCCCCTGCTCTTCCTCCTCCCTCTGCTCCTCCTCTCCCTCCTCTTGCTCCTGCTCCTCCTCCTCCTCCTTTTTCTTTTTTTTAAGCTATCTAGGTCTGAGGAGATGGATTAGTTAGTAAGGTGTTTGCATGCTTGTTGTACAAGCATGAAGCCCTGAGTTTGGATTCCCAGTACTCACAGAAAACCCAAGTACAGTGGTATGACCTACAACCCCAGCAGTGAAAAGGTGGTGGAGGGTAGAACTGGAGTAGGGGCTTAGGCAGGGACAAAGTCATTCCTGGGGCTCCCAGACGAGGCATAATAGCTGAAAGGCTGAGCTCTTGTTTCAGTGAGAAACTGTCTCAAAATATATAAATAAATAAGGTGGAGAAGTGACTTTTAGCCGCCTCACACAAGCACACACAACTGTAGTAACTTTACATACTGATTACCCTGAATCCTCAGCAGGCTGTTGTCTGTTTGTGTATTGAATTTCGGACTTAGCTGGAGGATTTCAGTAAATTCCCTTTCTCCTGCGATGTGATGTGGAGTGTTGGGTGTTACTCTGTGAAGTAGCTATTTGTGGTCTTTATTTAGATGGCTTTCTTGGGTTGTCTCTTTCTTTTCTCAATTAAGCTTCCCTGATCCGTTGGGGATTATGCCTGGCAGTTAGACTCAGTTATGGATTGGTCTTCTGTCCTTTGCCATAATATACTGGGGCCCATTCTGCTTTGCAGTTGGATTGGGGGGACGTTTTTAAAGCAAGTCTTCGCGGTTGTTCTGACCCTAGCAGGACTCCTGCCAGCGATCTTGATTCTTAGCTCCCTAAGGACCATCTACTCCGTTGTTCGTCTACCTTGTTTTTCTCAGTTTTCAGACACTGCAAATGGTTTGGTCTTTTGTTTTTCTTCTAGCTTTGTCAGCTTCACTGGAGCACTTGATGTGGTTGGCCTTGTGGGCCAAAAGTTGAATATTGTTTTTATCTAAGTGTTTGATAGATTCAAAAGGAAAATGTATATATAAAAATGTTGAGATTGTTTCTTACATGTATCGATGGTTTCACCATATTTGGTACTCTTGAATTCTTCTTAAAAATCCAAGTTTCAGTCTAGAATCATTTTCTTCCTGCCTGAACATTTCATACTTCTTGGTTCTCTCTACCCCTTTCCCTGGGCAGCCTAGGAGCTGATGTACCAGCTCATAGTGGGCTATAAACAATGTGTGCTTGGCTGTTGTCGGGCTGCCGCTTTCCAAAAACAGGAACTGGAGCCTGGTGACTAAGTCCTCAGCATTCTTCCCGCTGTCCTGTCTACTGGCTCCACCAATGGCTGCAGGAGTGGTGTGGAAGCCTCTAAATGCACATGTGTCTGCTGCCTTTTCAAATCTTTCAGGTTGGGCTTTGAGGATTTTGGTGCTCTGTTTTTAGACACATACACATTAAGAAACATACCTGTCTTCTTCATAAACTTTTAGTCATTATGTAATCCTCCCAGAACACTAACTTTTACATTTTTATATTATTTACAAACACTAACTTTTATATTTTTATATTGTTTACAAAGTGGACTATTACACTATATCATGTCAGTTTCATTGCATTAACCCCAGTGTCTGGGTAAGGAATGCCTTCTTGATAGAGCTGAACACCGACCTGAGAGGATGGACAGAGTTGTGGACTTTCCTGCCCCGTTGTGACCTAGAAGAACAGTGATCTGTCCCTCATATATGTTCAAAGACAAGTCCTCAATGGCTATCTTGGTGGTGTTATTCTCTTGGAATACCTGTTGGTGGAAGCCCGTAAATGTTATGTAGCCTTCGTAGCAGTTTGGAAGAACAAGAGCAAAGAGCAACTCTTTACATAGAAGAAAAGGACTACACATTAATATAATGGGAAATAGAGTGTAGTAAGGAGGAACAGCAAAGAGGGAGGATCTATTTGAAGAAACAAGGTGAGTTTTAGAATTTCACAGTAGGGGTGCAATCTTTCCATGGTCAATCCCATCCCTCCCTTCGTTGTTTCAGTTACCACCTTGAAGCTGGCAATGCCACAGTCTTCTTCAGTCAGTCTTTATTTTGCCCACTGAGCCATTTGAGGAAATGGGTCAGTGGGCAAAAGCACTTGCCATAAAAGTATAAGGATCTGAGTTCAAATCCCCAGAACCCACATAAAAACCAGACACATCCTTGATCCCACCAGGGACATGGAAGGCAGAAACAGGAGAATTCTTGGAAGCTAGTGGGCCACCTTATCTGGCATGTACAGTCAAAAAACAACAGAGACTATATTACAGTTTACTAACATCCATAAAAAAAGTTTATCAAAATGTTTGGAGTTCTGGAGAAGTCTAGGGAAAAAGCTGAATTTTGCACCTAGGTTGAAAAAAGCAAAATAGAGATGTCTTGTAAAATAATGAAGCTGGGAAAGGTCTATAAGAGAATAAACACTCTCTACCCTCCAGAGTCTTTTGCAGCTCTAGAGTTAGGAGCTCAGATCTCAAGTTTATGCAGACCCTTGAGAAGGAAGGAAATATCAGAGAACATGAACCACCTGAGCTGCACGCCTGCAGAAAATCCAGCAAAACTGATAGATCAAGTGTCGCCTCCACCCTCCCCCAACAACCACCCAGGCCAAAGAGATCACAAGTAGATGAATGGAAAGCATCAGTGAACAGAAATTAATGTTTACCCACTCAAGCCACAAAGCTCCATTAGATACACTTTAAAATGGCAGCACATATAGACAACATGGCACAGGTCAGAGGGAATCTGATTATCTTCTAGTAGAAAGATCCACTATTTACTAAGTACTGTACAGATACCATTTTTATCTTTCTCTGGAGAAGTAAATGCAATGGCTACGAACTCTTATTAGCATAAATAAATAAAAATTGGTGAATATTTGTGTATTTCTCATATTGAAGGTTTACAGTGAATACAAGGTAAATTCCAGCTTCATTAGGAAGGGAGGTCATGAAAGAATACCTTGTGCAGGTGTTTGATCTGGATGCCTGGCATCAAATCAGCTGGTTCAGTTTCAAAATACTTGCTTTGAATTGTCTCATGAAATTGGGTGATTTCAGGATTTGTTTGAGGTGTGTCTCCAAACCAGTAGGAGCGCTAAGAAGGAATAGAACTGATGTAACTGGTGGCATGGAAAAGAAAACACTAGAAAATACATTGACCCAACAGCGTTTGCACTGAGCTAGGCTGCATACAGTTCTTGATATCAGATTTTAGAGCAAGCTAGCTATAGACTACCCATGTCCCCCTCCAGGGTCTAGCCTGGTAAGTATCCCCTACAAGCAGATTCTATTTTTTCCCCTTAACCCACCAGACTTATCCCACATCCCACAGCAAGTGCTCAGTCCTAGTCTGGCCTCCCACACCTGTGCAGCATGGGACCTCAAGACCCCCAACAGGGTCCCACATCCCATACCACTGCCTAGTCAACTCCTCCTGGGCTGTAGCTAACTTCCTAAGTTTCTGCCAGGACCTAGCCTGGAAAGTACCCCTGATCCCATCATCCACACCTTTCCCTTAATCCCACCAAATTTAGCCTGGTTCTCATAACCTGTGTATCAGCCTAGTCTGGCCTTCCATTGCCTCACTTTGAAGGAGCTTAGGCTTGAGTCAGAATCTTCCCCACCCAGCCGCAAACCACAGGACTCTCTCACATAATATCTGACCTTTCCACTCAGACCTATCTATCCTCACAGTCTGGCTTCAAGCAGGAAACACATGAATACCAGGACAGTCCCCTCTGTCCACCTGACTTTATTCCACCCAAGACATTCCCAACCTCTAGTCCCAACCCACTCCCACATCTTTTTGTCTTCCCTAGCCTGTTGTGTCCATAACAAATTTAGAACTAAAAGGAAAGCTTTGCGAGTAGAATGAGGCAAGCAGAAGACAGAACATCAGGTCTCAAAGATAAAACAGAGGATCAAGACCAAATGAGCAAGGAACAAGAAAATTTAACTGCCCCCCAAAAATATGAAAAGAAACACATGGGAAATGTGGGACACCATGACAAGGCCAAACCTTCAAATCATAGGAATAGATGAAGCAGAAGCATTTCAAGTCAATGGTATAGACCAGAACCTTAAAAAGATCACAGAAGAAGACTTTCCCAAACCAAGGAAAGACACACCCATATGGATACAAGAAGCACACAAGATACCAAATAGACAATAAAATAGAAATAAAATAGACAATAAAATAGAAAATCCCCATGGCATACCAGAGTTAAAACACTAAGTATATATTACAAAGAAAACATATTGAAAGTTGCAAGAGAAAAATATTCCAGTCACATATAAAGAAATATCAATAAGAACAATAGTTGATTTCTCAATGGAAACTTTGAAAGCTGCAAGAGTTTAGAGCAATTCATTCCAAGTCCTAAAAGACTATGACAGCCAACATAAAATAATATACCCTGCAAAGCTCTCTGCCATGTTTGAAGGAGAAAGAAAAACTTTCTACAACATAAGGAACCTGAAAAAAATCTATATCCAACAAACCAAAACTAAGAAATGCCATGGACCATGATATAAATGCAGCAGATGGCAATTGATATTCAAGGGAGTCAACACACTAGGTTCTCTGATGGGGGAACCTTATTCAAGCAAGGCTTATGAGGCCACAGACTCTGGAATATCATTTTCTTCTGTCTGTAATTTCACTTGTGCAAAACAGCTATGGGAATCTCCCCACTACCTATACTGTAATGTGTCTATCTCATGATTATATTTCAACCTTACGGGCATTTACATCTGTGGACTGTCTAGAAGATGACTGACTCCTCATTAAGCTGTATTGTTCATTTGGTATCTATAATGTTAGCTTACACAGAGATTGATGAATAAATAAGAATACAAAGAATTACTACACAAGTCAGGAATTATATATTCCTGAGAACTGTTTAATATCACAGCTTAGGTTGACATAAGAAAATAGTTGCATCTCCCCAGCTCTAAGACAACTGTATACCATTAGCTGATTTAATGCTTCAAAGTAACTTTAGATTAAGACCAAGTGCCTTGGTAATGGGTTTTTAGATAACCACTCCCTATCTTAGTTCACAAGGACATACTGAGCTGTCTGGCTAGGTTGTAAATACAAAAAAGCCCAGTTATTGCTAGCTGGCAAATGATCTAGTCTTTGTATCCATTCCTGACCTCAACTTGTGAAAATATATTTTGACTAGTCAAGGCTACAGATAATAACTTGACTCTGTAGCCCCTAATGAGGGCTGCAGGTGTTCTTAGACAATCAGAAATTACATGCAAAATAGGAAAATATATTTCAAGATTTAAAACACTTTTTATGTCACTGTGCCTTGGAAAATGCCAAGTAGGCTTATATTAGGGGATTTAAGATAAACCTGAGTTCTAACCAAAGCATTTACAACACAACTCTCTTTCTGTAAACACTTCGAGAAAGCCCAGCATTTCTGTTAATCACAAAATCTTAGTTTAAAATGTTACTACATTTAGAAATATAGGATGTATACACAAATTCCTTATTTTTCTTAGACTCCTCAATAGCTTAGTTTTATAAAGCTCTCTCTCTAAATAGATAACAATAACTAGATCTTTCTTTGTAACTGCAACTACACTTTACAGCCAATTAAGAAGTTGAGGTTTCTGATTAGTATGTTATCAGGATGGCTCTGTCCCTTGTTGTTTACTGAAATGTGACCTTACAATGCAGTTCCTATATTCAACATGAAAGTTTCTGTTGAGTATATATAGCTGTAAGAACAAAGAGAGTAGGGAGCCAACATGAGAAAATAGGCAGGGAAGCTAACATGAGAAAAGAGAGCAACATGAGAGAATAAAGAAAGTTACCACCAGAACGAGTGTGTTCCTTTCCTAAAACCCTCAGATAGAAAAAGTTCCTGAAGCCCCACTACTCTGCAGGGTCCTCTCTACAACCCTGGAGCAGCCTGGATGCTGCTCTTACAGGCTGCATTAAAGAAGCAATATTTTTGATTGAAGAGAAAAATTCGCATAGCAGAGAGACTGTGGAAAGACATATGAGGTCATAATTATTAAAACATGAAGGACCAGTGAGAAGACAAACAAAGTCAAAAATCAACAACACGTTGATCACAATGAACACACACATTTCAGTAATAATTTTAAATATCAATGACCTCAATTCCCTAATCAAAAGACCCAGACTGACTGAATGGATCCAGAACAAAATCCACCTGTCTGCTGCCTACAAGAAACATATCTTAGACTTAAAGATAGGCATTGCTTTAAAGTAAAAGGATGGACAAAAGTAATCCAATGGAAGAGGACCAAAAAGCAAGCAGGTGCCACTATCCTAATATCTGAAAGCATAGATTTTAAATTAGAACTAATTAGAAAAGATTTTTAAAGGGACACTTCATTCTAATCAAGGGAACAGCTAACCAAGAAGACATTATTATCTGACATATTGGCACCGAACTCAGTGTCCCCAATTTCGTTAAAAAAAATCTATCATTGGATTTAAAGACAGAGATTAACATCAATCAATTAATAAAAGGTGATTTTGATATATCACTTTGTCCAATAGACAGGTCATCTGGACAAAAAATAAACAGAAAAGCTTCCATGTGCTGCAGAGTTGAACGTGAATTCTTTGGTGTTTGAATAGAATAACTGCAGATCTCTGTTAAGTCCATTTGCCTTTAAACCCACAGATATGTGTTGTCTGCACCCCTCGTCAAAGAAACTTCTCTTTGCAACAGATGGAGAACATAACAGAAAAGCACAACTAGTCAAAATACAGAGTTGTGGAGCCCAGTCCCAATGGATACATTTACAAAACACTCCCCCACCTAAGGCTCAGAGAACATTACAGAAGTGGGCCTCAAGGATTCTAAGGATCAGGGAACTTGCTGTGATTATGTCTCCCAATACTATCAGAAGCTACTCCCATAGAGTCACCAACACGACTGCCCAAAAGTGAGCTGAACAAGGAACATGCTGAACTCGAAAGAGGAGCTCATGAGTCCTCAGCCCTACACAAAGAACTACCGGCAGCTGAGGAAAGCTGGGAATGGGAGGGGCAGTCTTACCCAGGGAAGAGCACACCAACTGGTTGTCCAGTTTTAAGAGGTCAGCCCTGAAAATTTATATACAGGTAGCATTACATGGACTGAACAGGCTATACTTAGGGATTTTTATGTATATACATATACACATATAATAACAGATTTTTTTTAAAGAGGCCATGATTTTGAAGGAGGGTATGGAGAGAGGAAAATGACAGGAGAAATGTACTTAAATTATAATCTTAAAAAAAAAAAACCTGACACCCCCCCCCCAAGTAAATATTTGAGAGGGGTAAAGGGAAACTATTGCCAACTGATGTCGGAGAGAGAGTGCTATATCTCTGTCACATCTTCTCTAAGCAACACGTAGGCCAAAGATTTCCATGCTATTTTCTGGAGCTCGGTAAGAAATCTGGACCAAAGGTGATGAGGATCCAGACATAATTAAACTTCTCTGTGTTAGTGTCCAGAGTCTCAATGCTGTTACCTTCTTTAAGCATAGCCTTTCTGAAATACACTCCTGACAATGTGTGGACTCGTTGCTCACAATTTATACACTTTGGTTAGTTTCCAGCTCTTACCCATGGGTTATGTTTCCCCACATATAGTTATAGATATCTGCAATAATAACTTAGGACTCCACGATCTTACCTACATCATCTATCTATGTAAGTATGAGGGCTCAGGCTGTGTTAGGGAAACAGTAGTGGATTAGTATGGCAGGAACATAGATAAGGATGGCTCTCCTACCTCGTCTACATACTCAGTGTAAAACTGACTACTGATTTTCTTTTAAGATGTTTTAGAACAAATTCACAAGGATTCACCTATGAATAACAGGCACCAAGACTCACCATCATGAAAAAGTTCCATGGCTTGGGCACACCGTACTCTCCTGGAAAGACAGCTTCTATATACCAGGCCACAAGGGCATATAGGAAAGCATCAACTAAAAGCATTCCTAGCACGTAGGCAAATGAAAAGCTGTCTTTATCCGCTGATGAGAATATGTTACTCCATTTCACTCCAGTTTCTAAGATAAATTATGAAACATTCAATTAGATGCCAGAGGGACTAAAATAGTTCTTCATCTGTATCATAACTGAGTGGTGTGTTGGTGCTCTCTAGAGGTTCCTGTATGAATCCACTACCTTCTTACACCCTTAGCATGTCAGACTGCAAGAGGACATCTGAGTAAGTTATCAGGAAACTGTCTCTCACTATACCCAAACAGAGAAACAATTGGAAATGAATTCAATAAAAATGAACTACACAAACTTCAGGAAAATAGAATTTAATAAAAATAAGCAGACCTATGGACTAGGATGATGATTCCTCTCGTCACTGCTTTGCATGCTAGAAATCTCACTGGAATGCATAATTTTGGAAAAACATAATCATTGAAATGTAGGGATAGATTCCTGCTCCAGAAGAAACAGAAAGGGGCTCTTTTGGACTCCTAATAAATTTTTGGAGAGATTGTGAAGTCATTCATATACTAATATGTTAGTATAAAGTAGAAGAAAATTTTGGAGGACAGTTTAGCAATCAAAATTAAACTACGAATAACCAGCAAGCTATTAACTATGCATCTTCTAGAACACAGCAAAGTTTACAAGGTCACTACTCACTCTTTGTCTCTGCATCGATTAGGAATTTAAATCCAAATGCCATCCCAACATTGTAGTCGAAGGACCAAATCAGCTTTTGCTTGAATGTCATCTGTTCATACTTAGAATACATGATAACATATGGGAAGTAGGTGAGGAGAAAAAAGGAACTTCCTAAGCTCATAGCAAAATTGACTGCAAATGTAAAGGGAAGTGTGGTCAATTTAAGCAATTTTGAGAAACACAACATATAAATTGGCTTTTTTATGTGTACACTAAGTAAGCGTTACAAGAAATCAAAATGTCTGTTTTGTTTACCACTATTTTCCCCAGAACATAAATGCCATGTTTGGAATGCAGTGTGTGCACAAAGATATTTCTGGAAGAAAAGGGCTAAAATCAAACACACAAAGAGCTCATATTTCTGGATTTGTTCATTCTATACGCAATGAATATGAATATTCTAACAGTTATTAGAAATTTATAATTTTATTACCACTCAACACCAGAAATTATAAATATAAACAAACTATCGGAAAAATCAAAATATTCATCCAGGCATTATGAGATTGGTCTAAGTCATGGTAATGGATGAAAAGAAGGATTCCTGAATAAGTCAAGAAACTACAATTCAGTGTTTAAAACAACACAACAACAAAAACCCAACTATACAGTTTTTAAAAAAAATTTTCTTTATTTTATTTTACATACCAACCACAGTTTCCCCTCCCTCCTCTCCTCCTATTTCCTCCCCCCACCTCCCCTCTAACTCCCCATCCATTCCTCCTCCCTCTCCATCAGATAGGGTAAGGCCTCCCTTGGGAATCCACAAAGCATGGCATATCAAAGCATGGCTCTGTTGCTGCAGGACCAGGCTCCTCCCCACTGCATCAAGGCTGAACAAGGCATCCCACCATAGGGTATAGGTTACAAAGAGCCAGCTCGTTCATCAGGGACAGTTCCTGGTCCCCCTGCTAGGGGCCCCACAAAAGATCAAGCCACATAACTGTCACCCAGATGCAGAGGGTGGATGGGTTTTAGAGTATTTTTGGAGTTCCAAAATTTGATTTTCAGAGTTGCCATTTAATAATAGTTAAAATATTGCTGTATTCAGTCAAGAATTATGAAGAATGCAAAGAATATGATACAAGCTATTCATATACAAAAGCAAAATGAAACAAACAATACCACAAAGAAAATACTTGCCCCTGTGGAAGGCCAGAGGCTGGACTTCTGTAAACAATCCATCTTAAATAAGCTGGTTCCTGAAAGAAAGAGCTGAGGGGAAGTAGGAAAAAGAGATCTCTACTTCTAGAGATTATCAGTGAAGTGATGGACATTATGAAAGGAACCAAGCAGATGCTCAGACTGCAAAGTACACAAAATGAAGACTTTACATGGCTGAGTAGACAAAGGGGAAAATCAGCAGTTAAAAATAGCACAATTGGCATTAAGGAGCAGTATGAAAATAGAATAAAAACTTGACAAAGCCTAAGAGGCCTGGGACTGCTCTCAAAGTCACCTCCATATGCAAAGAGCAGTCACAGAAGAAGAAAGCAAGTATCTGATTTGAAGAATTGTGGTTGAAAATCTTTACACTTAAAAAAAAGGGCACAAACCTCATCTAAACAAAACAAAACAAAAACACCACTTCAAATAGGGCAGTCAAAGAAGCTTACGCTGAGACACATCTAGAATTTTTTTAAAAAAGTCAAATTCCAAAAGCAGAGAATTGGCAAAATAAAGTGCTGAAGGTGTCACTCAATGGTAGTGTGCTTGCCTAGTATACTTGAGGTCCTGGGTTACATTGTAGCATTAGAAAACAAAAGGCTATAGAGTCTTAAGGGAGAGAATTCTGTCCAGTACAAGACTACGGCATACTTCCCTCTTGGACTCTAGAGGCTAGAAGTCACTGGAGTGACACTGTGAAAACAAAATAAAAACTTGTCAACCAATAATTCTCTGTGTGGCAAAAACCATCATTTAAGAATCCAAAAGAGACTTCTTGGTTCTGGGACCACATATCAGGAGTTTGGTGTCCTTAGCAAATTTATTATTATTTTATTATATTATATTATTTACTAATAACAAACATAGAGCTGGAGAAAACATTTTTACTCTAGTGTCTTTCTGAGAAGAGAGGGGATACCATTGATACTCCAGCTCAACAAAAGTCTTTTTTTTTAAAAAATGTTATTGAAGCTAACGTCATAAATTGCTCATGATTATGGCATCAACTATAATTTATATAAGAAAATAATCAAAAGCTATATAGGAGAGGAAATGAGATGGGAATCAAAATGGAAGACACAAGGAAGAAAAAGATGAGGCATATATAAAATAAATGGCTGACGGGCAGATGCAAACCCAATTAGTCATTACTATACTTTGTCAGTGTACTAAATGCAATGGCATGAGTTAAATTCGGGAAAGGCAAGGTGTCAGAATGTATTAGAAGTCAAAGATACAAATTAATCATGAGTCTAGAAAAAGTCATCCATGCCAGAGGGAAGTGGCTAAACTATCAGACAGAATGATAGACTTTAAGAAATAAAGAAGGATGTTGTGAATAAGTTTTTGAGATGGGGTCTAGCTATGTAGCCCTGGCTGGCCTGGAACTCACTATGTAGACCAGACTGGACTCCAACTTTTGGTACTCTTTCTGCCTTGGCCTCCCAAGTGCTGGGATTATAAGTGTGTGCTACCACACCTGCCCAACATGGCCAAATTTTCCAGAAGAGAAAATACTCCTGAATCATTACACTTAAGCTTCATTAGTAACTGATGAAATGAAAATTTATTTTTAATTTCTCTTCTGTGGTACTGAAAACTGAACCTAGGGTATCACATATGCCAACCAAGGGCTCTGCCATCTAACTATACTTCCAGTTTGAAAAAAAAACGCAGATTTAAATTGCTTTTATATAACACTTCGTATCCCCAATTTGGTACAAGTCTATTATTATTATTTTTTTACAGCCTTAAGTCAAAGTTTTTATTGATTCAAGACAAAACTTTTTTTGAAAAGACATGAGAACAATTTTTCCACAAAGTTCATTTTTTAGATATAATATTTGAACATATATGATATACACTTCAACACACGTGAAAGGATAGCCAGTCAAAGGCCATTCTTTCCCCACCCAGCTGGCAATCATCTACTATTCCTGTTTTAACATGAGACATAGAAAAATAGGAATTCTCACATTCCAGTGGGACTGTAATTTCACAAAAATCCCTTGGCATATGAACCCTCAAAGGGCAGAAGGAAAGTTTTATTTGTCTTTGTTGTTAGAGACCATGCTAAGCACAACTTATGAGAATGTGTGAGTGGATGAATAGATGGATGAACGAATAGCCATTGATTGTACTTTCTTTCTTTCTTTTTCTTTTTTCTTTTTTTTTTTTTTTGGTTTTTCAAGACAGGGTTTCTCTGTGTAGCTTTGCGCTTTTCCTGGAACTCGCTTTGGAGACCAGGCTGGCCTCGAACTCACAGAGATCCGCCTGCCTCTGCCTCCCGAGTGCTGGGATTAAAGGCGTGCGCCACCACCGCCCGGCTCTATTCTCATCTTTCAATCCTCCAAAAACTTTCAAAACCTACCTACTACCTCTTAAGTCCACTTTCACTTGCAATATTGTGATCTAGGATCTTCTTGTATGTATGCTATGACTTATTAATTTTCATTGCTTGCTGCATGTCTTCTGGTGGCTAGTTTCATACATCATCCTGAATGTACTGTGGGACACACAGATTAAACATTATTTCTGTGTGTGTCTGAGTGCCCCTAGTTAAGGTCAGCATTTGAATCTGTGGACTTAAATCAGTTTGATTGTCCTACCTTACACTGAGAACCCCGAAGGAACAAACAGAGGGTGGGAGAATTCTTTTTCTTCCTGACAGCCTTCATGGCCAGAACACTAGTCTTATCCTGCTTGGTACTAGACTGACTCACTAACTCCTCTCCTTATTAGGTATTAGGACACATACTGAAATTAATCAATGGCTTTCCTGGATCCCCTGGTAACAGATTTCAGATGTGTGTGTGTGTGTGTGTGTGTGTGTGTGTGTGTGTGTGTGTGTGTGTGTGTGTGTGTGTGTGTTGGGGGGCTTTTTGGCCTCCATAACCAAATAAACCAATTCATCATAATATCCCTCTATCTCCCATTGTTTCTGCTTCTTTGGAGAATTCTACAATAATTTTTGTGCATATGATATCCATACTCCAGAGGTCAAACCCAGCTCTGTGGGGGTAGGAACTGCATTTCAAATACCTAACAGACCAACAACACACATTTAAAACACACAAAAAGCAATTCTGCTCTTTTCTGGATTTTCTCGTCATCAAACTAGCAGACACTGGTCTCTTCAGGTCAAAAGCTATCTGCATCTCAACAGTTTCTGGTGGAAGGGCTAGATGGATACAAGAGGCAGTTCAGGTTAGAAAGAACACCCACATGTGATCAAATATGATCATAGCATCACACAAATGCTGTACTTATCAATTTTCACCACTCACCTCATTCCATTTCTTCTTTTTTAAAAGACAAAATCTCATTAGTCCGTGCTGGCTTCGAACTTACTATATTGTTGAAGACATCCATAAACTCCTGATCCCCCTACTTCTGCCTCACAACCGCTGGTGCTACAGGTGTAAACTATCACTCTACATTTGCTCTATTTCAAGGGCACAGGCCATCTCAGAGCACAGAGGCTAGGGGTGTGGTGGTAGATAACATTTAGAAGGCGTGTTCAAACACAGTGTTTGTTTGTTATTGAGCCTCGTTCCCAGGAGGAATCATGTACTCACCTCTATTAAACAGTGTGCTAACCATAAAACTGAAGAATATTGATGAGCTGGCATAAAGTGACAAAAAGACAAAGACAAGGATTGGGTCATTGTAGTGGAAGATTCGTGCAGGTTCAATCTAGCAAAAGAATTAGAAATCTGGTTTAGTCATGTATGATGTGTTATCATGACAAAGTATAAGAAAAGAAATGCCCTTAAATACATTATTGTTCCTGGTCAACACGAGTGACACACTCAAGGAGATGAAAAATTAATACTTATTTTGGACAGGGTCTCATAGAGGCCAGACTGGCCTTGAACTCTTGGTAGCTGATGATGACCTGCCTCTGCCTGCTGGGATTCCAGGCATGCGCCATTACTCGCTGTTTATGCAGGGATTTGTATATGTTAGACAAGTACCTTAAAAACCCTCATCTCCAGCACCAAATGACTCATTTCTCACAGAAGGTCCACCCACCTAGGCTTGAACTGAAGTCTGCCGAGAGACCAAGCAGCTCAGATTCTACAATGACGTCCACACAAGCTAAGTTTTCCTTTCCTAGTAACAGAGATGTTAGGCTGGTTCTATACTTCTGTTTCCCTCTTAAAGTTTAGCCACAACATACTGGACTCAAAAAGACACTTGCCTTGAAAAATAAAATCATGCATATAAATATGATGTTAATAAAATACAAACAGAAGAATGTGACGAAATAGGCAACCCAGAGCATCCAGTTGCTCAGTCCTATCATGAGCTGGTATTCCTGTGGGAGAATTACCACAAATTAAATAAACATGAAAAAACACATACACAACCACACAGTGCCTTAGAGTTCTCAAAATGTACTGACACATTATCTAATTTCGTATTTATGGCCCAAATCTCCAAGTTAAAGAGGATAAAATTTGGCCCAGGATCTCCTGTAATTTCATTAAAATTGTTCAGCTAGTGAATGAGTCCTGTAGTTTTTATAAGTTCAGAGGTCATTTCTTCAATAATTGCCTGATACTGTTAAAGACACAGAGTGCATGTAAGCAAAGCTACAAACCACTTAAATATATCTTTCTTATAATTATATTTCTAGAAAAAGATATAATAATATTTAAATTTAATCATAAAACTTGAGAGTCCTAAAATTAAGATGAAAAGAGGGAAATTCTCACAGCTTTAGCAATAATCCTTATAAACAATCTATTTTCTTCAGAAGTAGTTATTTATAGAAATATGAGGTATTTTGAGCTTTAACAAAAGCATATTTAAAGCATTTCATAATGAATATAATGTTAGCCTAGATTAAGAAAGGTCAGTTGAGCCGGGCGGTGGTGGCGCACGCCTTTAATCCCAGTACTCGGGAGGCAGAGCCAGGCGGATCTCTGTGAGTTCGAGGCCAGCCTGGGCTACCAAGTGAGTCCCAGGAAAGGCGCAAAGCTACACAGAGAAACCCTGTCTCGAAAAACCAAAAAAAAAAAAAAAAAAGGTCAGTTGAAAGGTCTGAATATTCAGAGGCTACTTAAAATATTTTTATTGAATTTTACTAATATGTCAATATTTAAATTCTATGACTATAGCCCACCCCCTAATTTCTACCTGCTTGATACATACAAGATTCTCAAGGAATGTCTTTTGAATTAATTAATGTATGACTAGAAAGTGTGAACATATGCATGCTATTCAAATCTCTTTAGAGTGGTTACAGGTTCATACTATTACCTGTAAGAGACAAATACAAGATAAAATGTGCCATTAAATTTTCTAGCGTCTAATACTTGAAACATATTCAATTTGCAAAATTTTACCTATCTATCTATCTATCTATCTATCTATCTATCTATTATTTATTCTTGTGTCTGTGCATGCACATGTGTGTGCATGAGGTATGCATGTGGCATGGTGCACATGGAAGTCAGAAGACAATTCTTGGAAGTTGGTTCTCTCCTGTCACCTTCTGGGATCCAGGTTTAAAATTCAGGTCATCAGGCCTGTGTGCAAGTGCCCTGCCTGTGAGCCATCTTATAGACCCTTACTTAGCAAACTTTAATAAGCACTTACAGTGACAAAGTACATTTAACAAAAGTAGTGCAAGACTTGTACATAGAAAATGCAAAACACAGTTGAATGAGATGACAGAAAGTCAGAATAAATGCAGAGCTCCCCATTTCATGAACCAGAACACTTAATATTGCTAACATGGTAAGATCCCTTAAATTAGTGTACAAACTAAACACAATCCCTTTTCAAAGATCTTGGTACATAGTTACATGAAACTGCAGAATCTACATAAAGCCCAGAATGGCAGCATGTCAGTAATTTTAATACTCCTATGACAAGATAAGAGGTGGCAACAGGGGACTCTCTAGAGGCTCATGAGCCAGCCTGCTGCACACAGCCATGAAGAACAAAGAGACCCTGTCACAAGCAAGGTGGAAGGTGAAGACCAACACCCAAAGCTGTCCTCTGACAAGCATGGTGTGGCATGTAGGCACCTGCACTCAGACACATAAACATATACACAGATATGTATCATATGCACGTACATAAACTTAGAGATTGACAAACACTAATAAAATTCATATGGATATTCAAAAGACCCAGGGTAGTCAAAACAGTCTTGAAGAAACCATAACACTATCTGGTTTCAACACACACTGCAATGAGCTTGCTGTGCACAGATCACCAGAAAGGTCTGAATGTACCTTACAGCTCACCTTAGACATATATCATTAATCTCGATGAACTTCACATTTGCTAACAGGTGGGAATATTTTCTAGTTTTCCCTGTATTATTCTTCGATCTATATGTTGTTTATATAAGTTTGTTGTTTAATTGCTAAATAACTGTGAGATCTATTCTTCACTCTGCTGTTCCCAGAGAAAAACACGCTTTATATTGTTCAGGCCTTTTCTGTTCCCTGAGACATGTTCTGTGACTGTTTCATATCCAGTCTTGGTTTAATGTTCAAATATTTGTGTTTTTCTACTTCTGTGACTCTTATTAAATATGTAATTTAATTCTCTTGGGATAGAGATCATACTCTATTATTTCAGGCTTCTAGTGTACCCACTATACTTACAAAGAATGTGATATTGCAGATGCATTGGATGTAGTATCTATAAACATCATTTAATATATTTGTGAGTTTTGTTGAAATTCACCTCATATCTAACAACAGAATTGAGTTGAAGTGGAAAGACAAAAATATATCCTATGAAATAGTCACTAAAACGGAGTTGAGGTAGCAATAGTAATATGAAACAAAAATATTTTTACATCAAAATTATTATAGAAATCAAGGATATTGTGTTTTGAAAAAAAAGGGCCATTTTATCATGAAGATGCTACAGTGAAAGACATGTATGAACCAAAAGCAACATCAACAAAATACACGAAGAAAAACACCAACAGAATTAAATGAGGCAATAATCACTGGAGACTTCAACATAACATTTTCAGTAACAGAAAAACTGGACACAAAGAAGCTCCGTGAAAAATGGAAGATTTCAAACAACACTCTACCCAACTGTACTCAAGTGACAGAACATGAAATCAAACAAAATAAATTCTCATCTCCTCCTTAACCATCTCCAGAATAAACCTTAGCCTATAAAGAGAGTCTTAATATATTTCATTTTTTTACATCTTAGTTTTTTGTTTACTTTGCCTATTGTAATTTTAAATTTTATTCTTTTCTATGGTGGTATTTTATTTGTACTGAAATGTGATTTTAATTGTATGTTAATAAATAAAGTTGCCCGGGGGTCAGAGCTATTAGAGCCATAGCAAAAGCTGGACATTGGTGGTGCACGCCTTTAATCCCAGCACTTGGTAGGCAGAGCTAGGTAGATCTCTGTGTGTTCAAGGATACAGTCAGCATTGGAGACACACGCCTTTAATTTCAATACCATAGAAGACCTGGAGGGCTGAACATACAGGCAGTGACGAGGCAGTCATGTGTTTGGGTTTACAACCAATGAGAAGGCAGAACAGAAAGTCTATATAAAGACAAACAGACAGGAAGTAGGTCTCTTTCGGAGAGGTCTCTTGGCTGAAGAGGCTAGCTTCAGCAGGAATGGTAAGGCTCTTAGCTCTGATCTCTTGGCTTTCTTCTTTGCATTGGTTCTGTGTTTCTTATTTAATAAGACGGTTGGTTACATCTACACTTTTCTTTTTTTCTGAGCCTGATATTATGTGAATTATCTTTTCTTATCACAAAGGGATGAAACCAGAAATCAATAACAGGAAAACTGAAAAAAAAATCATTAACAGGAAGAAATTAACAATGCATCCTTCAACGACCACTCAAGAAATAACAAGGAAAAGTAGAAAACAAAAACACAAGACACCAAAACTTATGGGACGTAGTGAAAATGGAGCTGGAAGAGAACTTTACAGCTAGAGAGGCCTAAGTTAAAGAAGAAACAACTATGACAAATAGCCTAACTTTATACCCCATGAGCCTAGAAAAGAAGGAGGAGCTAGACACAGGGAGAGGGTAACCCAGATTAGAATGAGATAAATAAAGCAGAGAAGTTGCAGACAGCAGAAAAAAAGTCAACAACACCAAAATTAATCAGAATGGCAGAAATCAGTCAGACCGACATGACAATTGAGAAAACACATTACTCAAAACCAGCAAAGAGACTGGTAGCATTGCTTCTGATTTTATAGAAATGAGTCACAAGAGAGGATTGTGAACCGCTGAATGGCAAGCAAAAATTTGAATAATGGAGAGAAAATGGAGAAATGTGTAAGAACATGATACCTATTAAGATCAGATAAAAGAAGAACAGAAAAAATGTCCGGACTTATAACTAATGAGTATTCAAAAACCACCTGATAAATCACTAACCCTGGACTGGATGCATTGAGGAGTTTGTGGGTAGTTGATATTCAAATTATATCTGGAATGTTCCTTAAAGTAGTTTTCCATATACTGAAACTAAGAGTCATCTAAAAAAATTTGAATAAAGACAAAATTATAGAGAATTGCCACAAATGTGTGTGCTGAATGGCTGCAAGTGAAACCAAACTACTGGTTTTGAACATGAAGAGCTAATTCAACCTTCCATGTAAGTTCACCCCACACTTTCAATTTTTTAATATAAATGCTGTCTACAAGAAAAATAGAGTTACCTTCAGTTGGTTTTCCTTTTCCCACACAATGGACTGAACCAGGGTAAGATAATTCATAAAGAAGGTACACGCCACTGTTAGAGGGATGAAAATATTAGCAAGTTTATGGAAGAAATCATGATGAAAAGCAGGGGTTGGGAATCTCTGAATGAAAAGGCTGGTGTCATTAAAGAGTGCTGTCGCAGCAGCACCGCCATGATGTAGCATGATGGCCTTGTCTAAGGCGTGTTGCATGGCCAGGAACCCTTCACTGATGTACCCTAAATGAGAAAATAAAGATTCTAAGTAAAATGCCTAACAACATCTGAGCTGAACAAAGAAAAACAGTGATTCACGTACAGCCATGCATTGTATATAAATGTTCTGGCAACGAAGGTGATCTCATACCTTTGTCATCTATGACAAAGTGAGACAGCCACCCTAGCCTGTGTGAACTCACGTTGATGTCCACATGATGAGATGGGAGGTGTCTAGCAATGTCCCTCTGAGGCCTTATGCCCTTGGTAGGTGACAAATGACTAGATGTCAATGAGAAAGAGCAAAGTTAATTTTATCCAGGCTCTTCTCTTGGTCTAAGATCCTGAGCAGCCCCCACAGTTTCTCCACACAAACTCAGAATGAGTCCATCTGCTGTGAATAAAGATAGTATAGCTCTTTCAAGCGTTAGGACTTTCTAGTTTCTCTTTCTGGGACAGACAAGAATTTAGAGTAATTTGTTGCACAGAATTGGTGAGAACAAATATATTTGCTTTGTTCCTGACGTTAGGAGGGGAATGCACAATGTTGAAGTGGTAAACTACACATCTTCCACAGGTGTGCTGTACTGGATAGGGAAAATGTACTTTTATTAGTACCTTTGGGTGAGGGAGTTTGGGGTTAGTTTTTTAAAAATATGTTTTCATGCTGGAAAAAATCAATATGATGGAAAATTACAAAAGCAGTACAGAGGGTTTCTGTATGCCAAGCATCCTCAAAGGGAGGTTGGATCACCCCATGCCATCCTGCATAAACAGAAATATCTCTGTGATGTTGAAATTTCATGAAAGGGAAGGGCTAGGTTTTTTAAAGTCCCCAAAGGCTCTTAGAGGGGCAATAAATACAAAGACTGAGGAAAACTGCTGTTGACCGTGCATCATGCTTCCTTAGTCTCAGATGCTATGCTATCACAGCACAGTTCTCAAAACTAAGAACCTAACACGGGTGCAATACTATGTATAATACGTAAGCTCCATTTGCATTTCATCAAGTGTTTTTCCTCAGTGTTCCTTCTCTGTTCCAGTTTCCTGCACAGAATGATGCATTGCACTTACTTAGGAGGCTGACATGCTCTCCTCTCATCTATGGAAACTGCTCATGTTGTTTTTCCCTCTTTTTTTTTTTTATCAAAAATAGATATGTTTCCCTCATAGAAAATATCATGATTACTGTTTCCCCTCCTCTGCTCCTACCAGTCACTCCTCATCTCCCCTCCTATCCAAATCTATACCTTTTGGTAGTCACTCATCAGAAAACAGGCTCCTAAGGGGTAATAATAAAATAAAATAAAATAAGATAAGATAAGATAAAATAAAAACTAACACATCAGAATAGAACAAAACAAACAGAAGGGAAAGAGCCCAAGAGAAGGCCCAAGAATCAGAGACCCACTCATTCACACATTCAGAAATCCAATAAAAACACTAAACTAGAAGCATGTGTGTGTGTGTGTGTGTGTGTGTGTGTGTGTGTGTGTGTGTGTGTGTGTGTGTGTGTGTGTGTATATATATACACACACACACAAAAGACCCAATATATATATATGAAATTCATATATTTATATATGAAAATAAGGCAAAATTTTAGAAAAAATAAAAAGCCCTGACATGATATTATGAGACAAAAAAAAAAAAAACTCTCCAAAGATGCCGTTGAATTCATTTTCTGTTGGCCATCTATGGCTGGGCCTGCAGCCTACCATTAAAAGTCGTTTGTTTTACCCACAGACTCCTTTGTAGGAAACTAAATTTTCATTTGCAAGTGATTATCAATTGGAGACTGCTTATGGGTTAGGGATGGAGGCATGTGTCCATTTCTTCTTTCCACTCTAAGACTCTATCTGGTGCAGACCCATGCAGGCCCCATGCATGCTGCCAAGTGTCTGTGAGTTCATATGCATGTCGATCTTGTTGATTTAGAGGGCCTTGATTTCTTGGTGCCCTCCATCCCCTCTGTCTCTTACACTCACTCCACCTCTTCTTCCACGGAGTTCCTTGAGCTCTCAGGTGAGGGATTTGATGGAGATATCCCATTTGGAGCTGAGTATCCCAAGGTTTCTATTTCTGCATGATATCTGTCTGTGGGTCTCTCTGTATTTGTTCCTATCTGCTATAGGAGGAAGCTTCTCTGATTGGCAGAGCAGGGCATTGATCTATGAGTATAGCAGGAGGTCATTAGGAGTTATGTGAGTAGTATTTTGTTTTGTCATAAGTTCCTAGGCTATCTAGTCTTGGGTTCTTGGTCACTCAAGCAGGGCTGGGTATAGGTTTTATCTCCTGGATTGGGCCGTACGTCAAATCAGATATTGGTCGGTTACTCCTACAGGCCTTGTGCCACCCTTGCACTAGCAAATCCTGCAGTCAGGACACCATTGTAGATCAAACAGTCTGTGACTGGGTGGCCGTTTACGTTTCTCCTTTGGTGGTGTTAACTGTACCTTCCTGTACCAAAAGTGCTACCACGTAGGAGTGAAGGCTCTATGTAGGCATCAGCTTGACTTATCCATGTTCAATGAGTTGCCTAAGTGTAGTCTTCAACAATGGGGTTTGCCTTAAGTTTGTGGAGAGCAACCTGTAGTCTTAATAACAGCCTTGGTAGTTTAAGGGTTCCCATGGGACCCCTTTGGCCAACATCTGAAATAGAGGTAACTAAAGTCTGGTACTGGAAACTTCATTTGATGACAAGAGATGTCCAGTTGGGGGTCTGTCTCCACATTATTTGGTGACTTTATTTAGATCACCTTCACATATATATACATGAAGGCTTCTACTGTATTAGGTTTCCATACTACCCCTCAAACGGCCCTTACTTTTTAGCTGTCTCTTCCTATATTCCCTTCCCTTTTTCCCCATTTGCATCCCCTTCTCCAGTTGATCTTCCTGTTCCAGTCCCACCCCCATCCATCCATAAATATCTATTCTATTTCCCTTTCCTAGGGAGCTCTATCGATCTATCTCTACTTCCCTAGTTCCTCCATGGGACTATGGATTGTAGCTTGGTCATCACTGAGTTAACAGTTAATATCCCCATATAAGCAAATACATAACATATTTGTCTTTCTGGGTTTGAGTTACCACACTCAGGATGATTTTTTTTCTAGTTCCATTTATACCTGTATAAGTATAAATGAGCAGCAATGAATATGGTGTAGCAAGTGTCTCCATGGTATGATGAAGCATCCTTTAGGTATATGCCCAAGATTGGGAGAGCAACTGCCATACTGATTTCCATAGTGGAAGTACAAGCACATTCCAACCAACAAAGGTGAATGTTCCTTAACTCCACATCCTTGCCAGCATGAGCTGTCACTTGTTTATTGGCCTTAGCCATTCTGATGAGTGTAAGATGAAATCTCAAAGTAGTTTTGATTTGCATTTCCATGATGGCTAAGGGTGTTGAAGATTTCTTTAGGTGTTTCTCAACCATGTGAGTTTCCTCTTTTGAGAATTCTATGTTTAGATCTGTACCCCATCTTAAAATTGGGTTATTTGTTTTCTTTATATCTAGTTCCTTGAGAACTTTATATATTTTGGATATTAGCCCTCTATCAGATGTGTAGTTGGTAAAAATATTTTCCCATTTGTAGGCTGCCACTTTGTGCAAATGATGGTGTCTTATTCTGCATAGAAGCTTTTCAGTTTCATGAGGTCCCGTGTATTAATTGTTGATCTTAGTGCCTGTGGTAACAGTGTTCTGTTCAGAAAGTCATCCCCTATGCCAATGAGTTCAAGGTTATTGGCCACTTTCTCTTCTATCAGGTTCAGTGTATCTGGTTTTATGTTGAGGTCTTTGATCCACTTGGAGTTGAGTTTTTTTTCAAAGTGATAAGTATGACTCTATTTGGATTCTTCTACAAGCAACCATCCAGTTTGACCAGTATCATTTGTTAAAGATGCTGTCTTTTTTATCCAGTGTGTATTTCTGGCTTTTTTTTTTAATCAAAAATCATGTCTTCATAGGTGTGTTGATTTGTATCTGAGTATGCAATTCAACTCCATTGATGAACATGTCTGTTTTTTTGTGCCAATACCATGTTGTTTTTATTACCATAGCTCTGTAGTACAACTTGAAATCAGGGATGGTGATAACTCTAGCAGTTCTTTAATTATTCAATATTGTTTTAGCTGTCCTGGGTTTTGTGTTTCCTATGAAGCTGAAAATTGTCCTTTTGAGATTTGTGAAAAATTGTGTTGGAATTTTGATGGAAATTGCATTCAATCTGTAGATTGCTTTTGGTAGGATGGCCATTTTTACTATATTAATACTACTGATCAATAAGCACGGGAAATACTTCCATATTCTGATGGCTTCTTCAATTTCTTTCTTTAGTGTCTTACAGGTTTTTTTCATACAAGTCTTTCACTTGCTTTGTTAGAAATACCTCAGATATTTGATATTATTTGAGGATATTGTAAAAGGTGTTATTTCCCTGATTTCTTTCTCAGACCATTTGTTGTATGTGTATAGGATGGCTACTGATTTTTGTAAGTTAATTTTATATCTAGTTACATTGCTGAAAGCATTTATCAACTGTAGGAGTTTCCAAGTGGAATTTTTAGGGTCACTTATGTATACTATCATATCATCTGCAAATAAAGATACTTCTTTCTTTCCAATTTGTATCCCTTTGATCTCCTGTCTTATTGCTCTAAGACTTTAAGTACTATATTGAATAGGTATGGAAAGAGTGGACACCCTTGTCTCATTCCTGATTTTAGTGGAATTGCTTTGAGTTTCTCTCCATTTAAGTTGATGTTAGCTATAAGCTTGTAAACTATAATTATTATGTCGAGGTAAGTCCCTTGTATCCCTGATCTTTGCAAGACTTTTATCATGAAAGGGTGTTGGATTTTGTCAAAGACCTTTTCTGCATCTAATGAGATGATCATGTGGTTTTTGTCTTTTAGTTTGTTTATATGGCTTATACTATATAAATTTATATATGTTGATCCATCCCTGCATCTCTGGAATGAAGCCTACTTGATCATGGTGGATGATTTTTTAATGTGTTCTTGGATTCAGTTTGCAAGTATTTTACTGAGAATTTCTGCATCTAAGTTCATAAGGGAAACTGGTCTGTAATTCTCTTTCTTTGTTGGGTCTTTATGTGGTTTGTGTATCATGGCCATCTATGGTGATATTTTAATTGTACTGAAATGTGATTTTATTTGTATGTTAATAAATAAAGTTGCCTGGGGGTCAGAGCTAATAGCAAGCCATAGCAGAAGCTGGATGATGGTGGTGCATGCCTTTAATCCCAGCTCTTGAGAGGCAGAGCTAAGTGGATCTCTGTGTGTTCAAGGATACAGCCAGCATGGAGACACACGCCTTTAATCTCAATACCAACCATAGAAGACCTGGAGGTCTGTACAGACAGGCAGTGACCAGGAGGTCATGTGTTTGGGTTTACAACCAATGAGAAGGCAGTACAACCAATAGAAAGTCTATAAAAAAGACAAACAGACAGGAAGTAGCTCTCTTGCTGAGAAGGACAGAAGCGACAGTGAAGGGTAAGGTTTTTAGCTCTTAGCTATTACTCTAACCTCTTGGGCTTTCATCTTTGCATTGGCTCTGTGTTTCTTATTTAATAAGACGGTTACACCTACAGCCATAATATTTTATGGCCTCATAAAATGAATGGGCAATGTTCTTTCTGGTTCTATTGTGTGGAATAATTTGAGGAGTAGTGACGCTAACTCTTCTTTGAAAGTCTGATAGAATTCTGCATTAAACCATCATGCCCACTTGGGCGGTGGTGGCACATGCCTTTAATCCCAGTATTCATGAGGCAGAGGCAGAGGCAGATGGATCTCTGAGTTAGAGGCCATCCTGGTCTACAGAGTGAATTATAGGACAGCCAGAGCTACACAGAGAAACTCTGGAGAGAGAGAGACAGAGAGAGGAAAAGAAAAGAAAAGAAAAGAAAATAGAAAATAAAATAAAATAAAATAAAATTAGAAAACCCATCAAGCCCTGGGCATTTTTTATTTGAGAGACTTTTAATGACTGTCTATTTCACTAGGTAATTATAGGTATGTTTAAGTTGTTTATTTGACCTTGATTTGACTTTGGTAAGTGGTACCTATTAAGAAAATTATCCATTTTTTAAGATTTTCCAATTTGGTGGAGGACAAGTTTTTAAAGTATGTTCTTTTGAGTCTTTGGTTTTGCTCAGTATCTGTTGTTATATCTCCCTTTTTTCTGATTTTATTAATTTAGATATTCTCTCTCTATTTTAGTTAGTTTGGATAAGGGTTAGTCCATCTTATGTTGTTAATTTTCTCAAAGAACCAACTCTTTATTTCATTGATTCTTTGTATTGTTCTTTTTGTTTCTATTTTATTGATTTCAGGCTTCAGTTTGATTATTTCTTGCCATCTACTCCTTTAGGGTGTGATTTCTTCTTTATGTTCTAGAGCTTTTAGATGTGCTGTTAAGTTGCATGAGATCTTTACAGCTTTTTTTTATATAGGCACTTATTTCTGTGATTCCCTCTTAGCACTGCTTTCATTATGTCCCATAAGTGGATATGATGTATATTTATTTTCATTCAACTCTAGGAAGTCCTTAATTTCTTTATTTATGTCTTGACCCATTTTTCATTTAGTAGAGAGTTATTCAGTTTCTGTGAATGTTAGCTTTCTGTTGTTTCTTTTGTTGATATCCATCTTTAATTCTCGGTGGTCTGATAGGATTCAGGAAATTGTTTCAGTTTGCTTGTATCTGTTGTTTGCTTTGTATCTGAGTATGTGATCAATTTTGGAGGAAGTTCCATGAGGTACAGAGAAAGTATATTCTCTTGTGTTTGGGTAAAACGTTCTAAAAATATCTGTTAGGTCCATTTGGTTTATAATGTCTATTAGCTTCAGTATTTCTCTGTTTAGTTTTTGTGTGGATGACCTGTCTACTGGTGAGAGTGGGGTATTGAAATCTCCCACTATCCATGTGTGAGGGTCAAACTGTGATTAAAGCTATAATAGTGTTTGAGAGTGGGGGCAATGGGAGGAGTTGGAGGGACCTTACCTGAAAGGGGTGGGAGGGAGAAAAGGGACGGGGAAAAGTAATGTAATTCTATTTTAATTTAGACTGTATTAAAATTAATTAATTAATTGATTGATTAAACACTTTTCACTGCAGGACTGAAGAAACATGAATTGGCCCATCTTACAATACAATGAGATAATAAGTAGGTTAAACATCTGCTCACCAGGACTGCCTCCATCTTCATCAAATAGGTTTCTGGGTCCCTCAAGATGCCCAGGCGGAAAGAGAAAGCTTGTAAACCAGCTGTGCCCTTGAAAATATGCGCTAGCCTTCCTGTTCTTTTTAATATTACTAAAACGCAGGTGGTATTTTACCTAAGAGGAGCAATAGAAACAAATTATATATATGAAAAACATGGCAAGAATCAGAAACAAATGGCAAAGTGTATCAGGAATATGAAATTCTGAGGGTGTATAGATGAGTATCTGAGTAGGTTCTGGACTTCAGAAAGTGACAGCAAACCTGTCATGTGGCACATCACGTGTGAGATATTTTTGAAGTGTCAACAACCGTTAGATTTTTGCTGTGGGTTTGTAGTAAGCAAGCACAGCAGGAACTCATGGATATAAAGAACGCATTTTCCCTAGGAGGACGTCTGACAAGCATACTGAAATGAGATGTTCCAAAAGGGAGTATCAATTTACATTTCCTGTATGTTAGCCAACTATTCCTAAAGACAAATCTCTTCCTTTCCTAAAAGTGGTCGAGGAGGACAGAGAAGGAAGGAGTTAAGAGAGAAATGGGGAAAGTTGCATAATCCCCGAAAGAAAAGATCACTAATCTTAGAGAGCTGAGAAAACTTCAGGGTACATTATGTTAGGCCAAAAAAAAAAACCTCTCTGAGACAAACAGGTAATTGTAAGAGTCAGACCAGAGAAATTGGTTCGATTAGCAGGGACAGGCAGGTGTGAGTAACTAACCATATGTTGAAATTTCAATACAAACATTTGAGGCATTACTCCACATTCGAGGACAGCTGCTGCTTCTGGGAGAGCTCCTGTCCTAGTCAACGATGTGTTTACTCACGGCAAGTTCAAATTTGGTGATCATGGTGTGTTTAGAATATTTGTGGGAGGGTGGAAGAGGCTGCGGGGTTAGGAGACAACGTGGAGCCTAGCAGAGGAAGGCAAGCAGGTAGACAGGACCGGGGAGACTGAGATGAAGGCGGAAGAGGGGAGTTTTGAAGCTGCACTGGAAACATTTCTATACACTGATGAGCCTACATCAGCTCTCAAGGAGCCAATAACTTGAGGGGCGGGGGGTGACGGGTAGAAGCACCAAAGGGACAAAACAGAATGAAGAGAAAACAATGACTCCCTGCAGGCCCCACCTTACCTCCCATTGACAGCTGCTTGTACCTTGAACACAGAATTTTGTCTCTATACACATCTACATTCTATACTTTGTTCATTTCCCCCAGTACCAGGGACATTAAATTCAAAACATTGTCTATGTCTCTCCTTCTTGGGTGCAGTTACCAGAATCATCCCCAGTGTTTGTAAATGTTCTATTTCTAATTCAGTGTGGCTTGGTTGAATACATGTTGTGGTGGTTTGAAAGAAAATGGCCCCCAAAGGGAGTGGCACTATTAGGAGGTGTGGCTTTGTTGGAGTAGGTATGGCCTTGTTGGAAGAAGTGTGTCACTGTGGAGTTGGGCTTTGAGGTCTCATATATATTCAAGATCCCGTCCAGTGTGACAGTTCACTTCCTGTTGCCTGCAAGATATAGAATTCTCAGCTACTTTTCCAGTACTATGTTTGCCTGCATGCTGCCATACTCCAGCCGCCATGCTCCCTGCCATGATGATAGTGGACTAAACCTCTAAAACTGTAAGCCTCCACCTCAATTAAATGTTTCCCTTTGCTATGGTTATGGAGTCTCTTCATAGCAATAGGAACCTTAACTAAGACACATGTGTTCTCAACTACCATTTAGTTCCTTGAGGAATAGGATCTGTCCTTGACCATGCAAAAAGTTCTTAAAACTTCTGTCTTGAAATTCCATTTGAATATTCACTTATTACTCTGCATCTACCTGTGATCCTTACCCAATGGAAAGGGGGCATTCTTAGCATTTGTGAAGATACACTCACTTTATCATAGTAAGCTTTTTGAACTAGGAAACATGTGCATACTCCAGCAACATCAGCAGGGTACATGCTGCTGCCACCTTGGACACAGCAGCAGAAGTAATATCCTTACCTGTCTATATTTCTCAAGACCCCAGTTTGTGCAGAAGGCCTGGAAGGCAGTAAATACAATCCTTTCCTCCTTAGCACAGTAATAGACACTGGAATCAGTGAGAATTGGACCTAAATCCATGCTGTGGTCAAGGGGCAAGTTATTCTCTTAATTATTAAATGCATATGTGTGGTTCATTAACTCCAGAAATCAGAAGTACAGCTATGAGGCTTCTCTTTTAAAAACTTTTATTTTATTTATGTATACTTGTATGTTTCTATAGAGGGGTATATATGCACATGGGTGTGTCAGATCTCTTGGAGCTGGAGTTACAGGTGGTTATAAACTGCCCAGTGTGAGTGTTAAGAATTGAACTCAGGTCCTCCGGAAAAGCAGTACACTCTGTGTATTCTTTTCCACTGAGCCACCTCTCCAGCCCCCAGCCACAGACGTCTGTGGAGAACTGTCTCACCTTCTTTGACAGGGGGTCATTACTGTTTGTGAAGCTGTGGTCAAACACAATGGCAGCCAGAACATTTTTAGAGTTGACAGTTGACCTCATGTAGTCTTCAAAATCACTTTCTGAAGAAAACCCTGTAACTGTAGAGAGAGGAAAAGTCTAGAAAAGCAGAGTGAATGACAGCGCTTCCTACCTGTAAGATAGGAGCCACGAACACTTGCTGAAGTAAGCTGGGTGATCAAAGTGTCCCAGTGCTACGGAAGTTCCAGGTTGAGGAGAAATTAGGGGAAAGGTGTTATGCCATGGTTTCATAATATTTTAATATCTAAATTGAAAATACACATGATTTTAATGTTTGAGGTGAGTATATTTCAGTAATTGAGATTTTCAATCAATGAATTGAACTTTGAAATTCAACCTGATTGACCTTAGGAAAGGTGTAATTTATATTTTCCTAAGTCGAAAAATTTAGTCGCTCAGTATACAGTACATTTGTGCACAGTCTATTGTATACCCTGAAGATTTCCCTAGAACTGCGTGGTTGATGTAAACGGAACGTCCAAGATTCAACAGCTGCTGCAGGGAAAACCATGTCCCATGTAGTTTTACTCCTCAGACTGCAATGGCTTTATTGGTGTAATTTTTCCTCCAGCGAATCCCTGATTCCCCAAGACATGCAATAAAAGCTCCACCGTGGACTCTGTCGACGGTGCTGGCTGGCGTTCTCACTCCTGCTTCAGAGTTCCCACTCTCAAAACACACTCTCCTCCACACTTGCCTCCTGTGCTTCCGGGAGTCCCTGTTTCTCTATCTCACCAGAACTATCACGAAGCCAGTTCCCTCCGCTAATTTTCTCCATTCATTTCTGTAAGCAAATCCATAAGCAAAAAACCAGTCCATTCTAAAGAATTCTCCATCATCTTAGCCTGTATTTTCTATCCAGTAAACATAGGAAACCTTGCTTGAGTTCACCCTTTGAAAGGCCTGCATTTAAGTGAGTATGGTGGCTGAGTATTCATTTATGTTTGCATAAAAAAGAGTCACTCCTGTGCTGTTTGGAAACCAAAGGTATAGCTAGCCATGCTCTAAGAAAGAAGGTAGGTTGAGGTTACAGATTTAGGAGCTGACTCTGATTCTGATGCTCCTGAGGCAGAGGAGTTGGACTGTATGCTATTTAAAGAGAGGACAGTATTAGAGGGAAGTCCACAAAATTTCTAATAGTATTTGCCCCCATGAGAAACGGGAGAAATTGGTCTGAGAGTGTGAAGGTAAGTGAGGAAGTGGAAACTTAAAATAATTCTACATAGCTCCTCTACCAATACGTGGTGGTCTGGACATGCTTTGAGCATGTCCCCCAAAGGCCTATGAGTGTGTAGCTCCATTGTCATTGTCACAACTTGGAGGAGGTAGAAACTTGAAGAGGTGCCTGTGGAAAGTAGTTAAGTCATCGGAGGGACTGCTCTGGGGAAGGGTTAAGGAAGCTTTTGCAGGACTCAGGTTTAGCTCCTGTGTGAGAGGGTGGTTAGAAAAGGGCCGGCCTGGACCTGCTTTGTATATCTTGTAGCCTCCTGTCTCTCCAGGTGATCTCTCTCTATCAAATGTGCTTCCATCACAATGCCATCAATTACAGTGTGATGTAGCCAAGATGGTCCCCAGGTGGGGGCTGAATAGATGGGGACACCAATCTTGTTCTTTTTGCCTCCAAAACTGTGTGTTAAATAAACTTCTTTTCTTTATATGCCACCTGCCTCAGGTACTTTTTTATATCTAAATAAAATGGACTCAGATATAATCTTCTACGGATTGTGCAGTAATGTTTTAAATAATTGACCACAAATTTAGAGTAAAGACGTATTTATCCTGTATGTACCTGCTGCACACAGCAATACTCCTGATATTATTCTTGCCCAGAGTTTAAAAACTCATTCAGAAACAATGAGGACTTGGCATCACAGAGCTGGATAATAACTTGGAAAACATCAATTGATCATCCAGTGCTAAAATATTACTTTGTTTTTTGGGAGGGTTATAGAAAAAAATTTATATGAACTTAACTTCAAGTTTAACCAACTTTATAATAGTATACTTAGAAAGCTGACCCTTGGTTATGAGGATATCCTGTAGTATTTTGTGTGGAAGATAATGCCCACTTAAAAAGATAATTTTTTCCTAAAATAATTAAATAATATGCTTTTTTTAAAAATAATGAAAATCTTAAACTAACCTTTCATATGGACGTTTAAATCCCTTTTCACATTTTCAATAATATTCTGTACCACGATGCTGTTGGCAGGCACATAAGCCAGTTCCCAAGGATGAGAATAAGTGGTGAAGACTTGGATGAAGGAAGGAACATTACTGACCAGTTGAACAGGATAATGGAAAGATTCCATCTTCTTTATAGCAAGAAGTTTGCGGGCTACCAAAAGTATACCACTGCATACAAACATCAGGATTATTTCGAAAACCAAAGCCCTAAACTTCCGCTTCTAGAAAAAAAAAAAAAAGAAAGAACAATACCATTAGTTTTTCCAAGAGGTCAATGATTGAACAAATGGTAATTTGTATGTATTAAGGTAATAATTTACTTCATTCAGACTACATAGGTGACTAATAGGCCATGCTTCACTCTGGGAGAGACAAAACTTCATAGACTGTAATTGTTCTCTCTCCCATGTAACATTCTGCTATGACCTCACTCTGTGTAGAGTCTATGTTTGGAATAGATAGCCCCAGCTCTGGAACAGAGAAGAGTAAAACTGTGTAAATTAAAAGGCAGTGACTGCGGCGTGAGAATCACCCTTTACTATCTCTGAGCTGTTGCAACAATACTATGCAGAGTTCAACTTACCTTTAAAGTAAAGTTCTTCCACAGTAGAATCAAAAGCTTTTGGGACTCCAGTGAAGCCATTCCTCTGAACTGAGTGGGAGTTCAACTCTGGAGGAAGAAAAGATGTTTTTTAGAGAAAAGAAAATTAAGATTATCTGAATCTTCAGATATGTGTGTTTCATTTGGAACACCCATTGTAGGTCAGGAAATCGGGGGGAGGGGGAAGGGGAGGAGTTTCAACAGGCAAGAGAGACAACTAGATGGTATAAATACAAAGGGGGGGGGAATAATGAATTAGGAAGTGTTAAATTTGGGTAGAGGATGGGAGGGCAAGGTAAAGGAGGTAATATAGGGAGAGATAAATAACTCCAAAGACCTTTAGGAAATTCATATGAAAACCTAACTACTACTTTAGAAGCATACACACACACACACACACACACACACACACACACACACACACACACACACGAGAGAGAGAGAGAGAGAGAGAGAGAGAGAGAGAGAGAGAGAGAGAGAGAGAGAATTAAAATGGAATCATCTTTAATGCCCCACTAGATACCACAAGCTAACTAAAATTCCAATACCAAGAATGGGTTACCTCTTTTGGAGTTGTTGGCCAGTGAGGGACCATAGACTTCCCCCTAAACATCAAAGGCTATTGCCAATGCTACACTCCAGAACTTGGCTGTAAGACCATAATTCTGAAGACACTGCACACTTGAGTCAGAGAACATGAAAAAAAAATCAAGTTAGTTTTCACTGGAAGTTTCATCCCTAACTATCTAGCTTTTGTGGTGCCAGAAGATGCTATTGGTACAACCGAATTAAAAGTTATCATCAGTCTCACCTAGCTCTGAACTTTGTGAACTACAGTAATGGCTGACCTGGTAAGACATGCCCACTGGTACAATAGTAATCATAAATGTTATGGGAGAACCAATGGCTGATTTAAGGAAGATAAAACCTATACCCATCACAATTATCAGGGCCAAGAACCCTGAGCTTAGATAGATCATGGGCCCTCAGGGAGAACCTATTACTGTTATTCTGCTAAATGGACATAGTATTAAACTGACTACTAATGACTTGTCATTATACCAATAGCTTATTAATCCATCTCCCAATCTTCATCAGACAAACATCTCCTTGCAGGAAATAGTGACTAACACAGAGACCTACAAATGATCAAAGTCCAGAGAATAAGAGACTGCAGAATGCTTAGTCCTACATGGGCCATCCATATCATATACACTACCCCCAAAAGATCAGGGAGCCTTGTGGAAGAGGGGACAGAAAGACTGTAAGAATCAGAGGTACTGCACATGTCTTCTGGACGTAACAGGGCATCCGCACATAGGAACTCATAGTAGTTATGACAACATGCCCAGGACCTGAGAAAGTGAAAGCTAGATCAAATCCCAACATGGAGAGGGGGAGGTGTGGTGATATTGTGTCCCCCAATATATTGTGCACCCTAATAAACTTATCTGGGGTCAGAGAACAGAACAGCTGCTAGACAGACATAGAGGCCAGAAAATGGTGGCACACACACCTTTAATCCTATCACTTGGAAGGCAGAGATCCATTCGGATCTCTGTGAGTTCAAAGCCACACTGGAAACAGCCAAGCATGGTGACTCACGCCTTTAATCCCAGGAAGTGATGGCAGGAAGCAGAAAGGTATATTAGGCATGAGGACCAGAAACTAGAGGCCTTTTTAAGCTTTTAGCTTTTAGCAGCAGTTCAGCTGAGATCCATTCGGATGAGGATTCAGAGGCCTTCAGTCTGAGGAAATAGGATCGGCTGAGAAGTTGGTGAGGTGAGGAAGCTGTGGCTTGTTCTGTTTCTCTGATCTTTCATCGTTCACCCCAATACCTGGCTCCAGGTTTGTTTTTTATTAATAAGACCTTTTAAGATTCGTGCTACAGGGAGGTGAACACAAAGTCCCACACCTATCCAACTAGGTGTTGGTAAATGATATGATCTGGCAGAGGAAGAGTTTCCTTCAGGAGTGTGGCCCCTGCTATATCAATCATACTCCAGTGGAAGATCACACACCCAAAAATATATGGGCAGCAGAAACTGCTCAATTAATTTTTTAAAAAAAATAAAAGATGACAAAGTCGAGTGACTAGGGAAAGGGAGGAGTTGGTGGAGGAGGCAAATATGATCAGAACATATTGCACAAAATTCTCAAAGAACTAATACAAAGTTTTAAAGCAAAAAATATTATCTAGCAGCGTGTGGCTTTTAGACAAGGAAATTACTTAAATTGTATTCATTTAATTTTCTAATACAGTTTTAAAATAACCAATCATTTGGGATAGCCGAGTAGTTATATATCCTACATTTTAATGTGTCTGGCATCTGTGGAGATCTTAATATCTACAAAATGCCATGCTCAGAACAAAGATTAATTAGTTATTCAAGTTTCATGTATGAGAGTAACTACCAACAATCACAATGCTAATTGGGAAATGGTTTGTAATGGACTGAACATCTATGTTTATGTCCCTACCAAACTCATATGTTAAATCTTAACAGCAGAGATGATGTTGTTTGGAAATGGGGATTTTGAGTGGTGATATAAATGGGATTGGTGTATATTAAGCCCTGAAGACAGCCTCTCATCTCATCCCTCTGTCATGTGAGTACATAAAGACATTATAGCTGCCTGTGAGTCAGGAAAGGGACTTCCCAAGACACTGAATCTGCTGGCCCTTTCATTTCAGACATTCCAGCCTCCAAAACCTCACCAAAAGGTTCTGCAGTTTATAAGCCATCTAGCTTATGGGTTTTGTTATAGCAGCCAAAATGAACTATGGGGAGATTAATTCTTAAATTTAATGACTATTTTATCTATCATATGCTTACACTAGGTACACATGTATAATTGGGAAAAATGAAATCCATTCCTCATGGAATGGATGGCATGGCAGGTATTGACATTAAAACCTCAGCTCTTATCTTAACAGGAATAAGAGACAGTTTCTGGAGCCATTATGAGTGGCCATCGCCCAGGAACACAGATTTTGGTTACTCCAAATTTCATGTTCCTATGTGGTGGTAGTTTCACAGGGTTTTTACAATTTCACAGAACAATGAAAGTCATACATCAAGGCAACTTTAAAATACATTGGTGGGTACATCAGAGAGGCGGGTACAACGAGATGGGGGGAGCTGTTTTCATAGGCCCCAGATGCTGTCTGATGACATTCTGAGCTCTTGATGGGTGGAAGCTAGTGTTCTGCTAAGTCAATAGCTTCTAAAATGTTCTTATTTATTATCATGAGGTATCAGTTCAGATACAGAACGGGGCAAGGAATGACTGTTCCTGAAGGCTAAAACTAGCCCCAGATAAAGAAATTACCTTCTGAACCTACAGAATTCCAGACTCTCCACAGCACTGGAATTCCAGTTGGTCCATCAGTCTCTGCAGACAGAGACTCCTTCCTGGAGGTGGTTGTTGCTGTTGCTCACAGCCGACAGAGCTTCTGCTCAGGGATTGCCATTCACTTGGGCAATGATCAGTGCCTCCTTCTCTGCAATCAGGCTGTTTGGGTCCAACGCTGGACCACCAACAGCACGACCTTGCACAACTGACAGAAATTTGGGGGGAGGCGGCTCTGAGGAGAAGAGCTGGAGCTCACAGCCATAAAGGAGAGTCATTAGATTAAAGCTTCATTTAATCTTAAGGAAAGTGAGGATAGACCTGAGGGAGATTGTCAATTACAGGGACTGTAATCCAAATTCAGGCACAGCAATCAGATCAGGAGCCTTATCAGCATGTGCATACACACACAAACACAAATATTCTCTGGGAAAATGATGTCTGAGTAAAGGACATAATATTTTGGAATATAATAACAAAATATAAATAACCATAACATTACTTTTTTTTTTTAGTTTTTTGAGACAGGGTTTCTCTGTGTAGCTTTGCGCCTTTCCTGGAAATCACTCTGTAGACCAGGCTGGCCTCGACCTCACAAAGATCCGCCTGCCTCTGCCTCCCGAGTGCGGGATTAAAGGCGTGTGCCACTACTACCTGGCAAATAACCATAATATTACTAGAAAAATCTTTACTACTGTTTTTAAATAATTATTTATTATTGTTACTATGTATATGCATCACATGACCAAAAACAAAAGTTAAAAATAAAATAAAATACATCCCAAGCAAATGGTAACCAAAAGAGTACAGAAGTAGCTGTATTGGTTAAAACAGACACATGCTTTTAATTTCAACCACTCAGGAGGCTGAGACAGGCGCTAATGGAGACTGAGCTTGCTTCATGGATCTTTTCTGACAACAGTGTTATGAAACTTTGATATAAATAACAGGAAGTACTTTCAGAAAATCCACAGATACATTTGGAAATTACAACAGCATACTTCTCATGAACAAAGGTGTCAATGACATTTTTTAAAAAGTGATTATTGGTAACTTGAGACAAGGAAATAGGAACAACATACCAAACTTACAAGAGGCAGCAAAAAATCACTCTACCAGGAAAGTTTAGAGGGTTAAAACTCACACCCCAGACTCTCAGATAAACAACCTGCCAACACACCAGGGAACTAGACTAACAGGAATATAACTAACTGAGCACAAAACTGAAGCTCAGGGGCCATCGCATCCAAACCCCGGAAGTCCGAATGTCTCGCTAGTCTGTGTTCCAGGTGAAGGAAAAATTTTTCTTTCGAGACAGGGTCTCACTGTGTAGATTTGATCTACAACTCAAGGGACACTGATGGAGCATCCTGCCCCTTCACTTTTAACCTCCTGTGACCTTACACCCTGAGCTGTGGTCCTGGCATCCCCCTTCCTTATATAAAGGGGAGGGGGTGAGGCGGGGAGGGGAAACAGAGACAGAGACAGAGAGACAGACAGAGATAAAGAGAAAGGGAAACTGAGCATCTGAACGCTGTGTCAGAGCAGGGAACACAGGGAAGGCTCGAAGGACTCACCACTGCCGCTCCAATTCAGCAACTTCAACCACTAGCACCTTTTCCACTGAAAAGCACCAGACCTCCTAGTTGGGGAGAATCATCCTGCACACAGCGCTTTAGCCAACCCTCTTGCAGGGCAGTGCTCTCCTTCCCAAGGTTGTGGCCTGGGCCTCCAGCAAACCAATTCAAAGTACAGACGTGGGCGGACCCAAAGTCACGTGCCAAGTGCGGTGAACGGTCAAGGAGAGTCAGGTGCAGGGGAGAAGACCGAGGCACGTGCTGAGGGAGGAACAGGGGATGGGTTGGGAGCAGTCGCAGCCAGCAAACAGGACCACGGAACATAGGCCACGACCATATGTTTCTCCTGCTCCCCAACTTCATCAGTACAGGGGGAAACAGTATGTGAGGGGTGGTGGGAAGCTTCAGATATGCACAGTAGCTGGCGAGGGGCCACTAAGGGGCGCCAGACATAGTAGGTGATGCTTGCTCCAAATCCTTCTCAGCATCACCTCCTACTTAGCCCAGCACTCACCATCCTTTGCTTACTTTCCAAAACGTGGGGTTGTCTGTCCATGACCCCAGCAGCGTAGGGTTTCACTCACTCCCCTATCTTCTCCCCCGCCCCCCGCCCCCGTCCGTCTCTCTGTCTCTCCTACGCTCCCCCCTCCCCCACCAAGTCCCGGATAGATTGCTACACTTCTCAGTCCTTTGTAAGTCCGCACTGATTTAACCCTGCGCCTGGGTGCAGGAGCCACCTCAACCCTTTGGCGACTCCCAATCCGCTTCCTCTGGGTTCATCAACTAGCCTGTCAATCACCCAGCGGACTCCACGCCTATATCACACATCCCCCAGCTGTGCAGGGTCATGAATGCTCACTCTTCTCGGATCTATCCCATCCAGATCCCCTCTTCCAGTGTAGCTTCATGTTAGAGTCACAGGTTGAGTTCTGGCAAGCACCGCAAGTTTTCTATCTCTCTGATGTGCGATAGGAGTGTTATTGATTCTTGGCACCAGAGGAGCAGGAACTAACGTGGCGTTACGCCTTGTCAGGAGGGGGCGCTGTAGGAACACCGCAGAAGCTTCTCTCTCAGCTTGTCTCTGGCGTATTTCTGGCTCTGGCCTGTCACCTGCCCTCAGCAGTGTGAACCATGAGTTCCCTTGCGCTCACAGTCCAGGATCATGAGAGCCAGCCGCAGCAATCTACTTCTCAGCGGGAGCCTGCCAACAACCCAGACCCAATAGCTGTTTCCACTGAGACTATTGCTGCTTGAAGAAGAATCTCTGCAGTAGCTGTGGTCCAGAGCTCAGGACCTTCCCCACACTGAGGAGGAGACGCCTCTATCTTGATCCTTGGATGTTTTCATTCATCAGCGATATCCCGTCAGGGTTAGTAACTCTTTAAACTTTCGCTGTGCAAATTGCAGCATGACACCTTGTCTCGAGGGGAACAGTGACTGGCACACCTTGGTCAAACCTTTGAGCACCTGCCAATCTCGATGACGGAAATCAAGTAGCAAAACCTACCTTCCTTGGTCCTGAGACGATTAGATGATGCCGTCATGGAGAGTGAACAGTGGAAGCCCCAACACATGTTTTCTGTTACGGAGAAAACCCAAAGAAAGCTGTACTGTTGATAAAACAATAAAACGCCGATTGACTTCTCAGTGTCATTTTGTTGCCAGTTTTTTTTGTTTGTTTGTTTTTGTTTTTGAGGAGGGTGGTGGTCTGGCCAGGGTTTTGCAGATGCTTAGCCTCTTATCTAAAGAATTAAAAACAAGGACTCGCCGGGCGGTGGTGGCGCAAGCCTTTAATCCCAGCACTTGGGAGGCAGAGGCAGGCGGATCTCTGTGAGTTCAAGACCAGCCTGGGCTACCAAGTGAGTTCCAGGAAAAGGCGCAAAGCTACACAGAGAAACCCTGTCTTGAAAAAAAACAAAAAACAAAAAACAAAAAACAAGGACTCAAACAGATTTGCAAAAGTAGCAAGATAATCGTATGCATGTAATTAGAGGATTCTCTCTGGAAGTTCTCTTGACGGGAGTTTGCATTCCTGGACATGCACCCCAAACTAGTTCAGGCCAGACCAGCCTTTTCACTCCTCCTACAAGGATAGTTGAGACTATTCTTGGGTAGTAATCATTTAAATTTGATTTTTGCTGGGGGCAGAGAAATGTATAGTACAGTTCACAGAGAGCCCAATCAATGCAGGTAAAGATGTGAGTGGGTTATGGGGTTCCTAAGTGCACTGTGCACAGGTGTTTGTGCACAGTACATGCAGGCAAAGGAACAGGCTGCCACGTGTATTATTACAAGAGGGGGCACACTTTTAACCAAACCAAATAAGGTCCCAGGCTCCTAACCTGTCTCCTATGCTTGCCTGCTTTCATTTCATTACTCACAGAATCAACTGAGAATGCAAAAGCCTTGAACGAACCACCCCAAAGCACAGCAGCCACAGACTGTTTGCTGGACAATTCCACATTGCCTATCCTACTTGTCTGCTTCTCTGTGAATCCTGAAGAGAGAATTAGTTCCTCATGGTACTCACAGCTCGATCCCCCTGCCTAGACTGTAAGAATTCATCCCACCTGCTTTCCATCTTGAGTTGGGCCAGAGTAGAAACGAAGACACATAATTCCTTTTTGCTGTGGTTTTGTTTTTGAGACAAAGTCTCATGTAGCCCAGGCTGGTCTCATAGCTGCTCTGCAGCTGGAGCTGGCTGGCCTTAAACTCCTGATCCCCCTGCTTCCACCTTCTTAAAAATAGGGTTACAAGTGTATGTGGCTCAAAACACACAGAAATGTTTCCTTTCTGTTCTTTGACTTTGCATGTTCTTGGTGAAAAGACTCCTGATTTGTTCTCATCCACCATTCTTTGCCCTTCATTACTGCCCCTCACTCCCAGTTTGCTTATGTAGATTTCATCTATTTCTCCTTCGCTGGGCTATCTATGTGTCCCTCTTAGGCCCCTCCTTGTTAGCTAGCTTCTCTGGAGCTGTGGGTTGTAGTCTGGTTATCCTTTGCCTTACATCTAGTAACCACTTATGAGTGAGCACATACCATGTTTGTCCTTCTGAGTCTGGGTTACCTCACTCAGGATGATATTTTCTAGTTCTATCCATTTGCCTGCAAATTTCATGATATCATTGTTTTTTACTGCTGAGTAGTACTCCATTGTGTATATGTACCACATTTTCTTTATCCATTCTTCAGTTGAGGGGCATCTAGATTGTTTCCAGGCTCTGGTTATTATGAATAATGCTATGAACATAGTTGAGCATGTGTCCTTGTGGTAAGATTGAGCATTCCTTGGGTATATGCCCAAGAGTGGTATAGCTGGGTCCTGAGGTAGATTGATTCCCAATTTTCTGAGAAACTGCCATACTGATTTCCAAAGTGACTGTACAAGTTTGCATTCCCACCTACAGTGGAGGAGTGATCCCCTTGCTCTGCATCCTCTCCAACATAAGCTGTCTTCAGTGTTTTTGATCATAGCCATTTTGACAGGTATAAGATGGTATCTCAGAGTCATTTTGATTTGCATTTCCCTGATGAGCTGAAACAGGGACAGAGTAGGAAAGCAAGGAAAGAGATACCATGGTAAATGAAGACATCATGGGAACAGGAAGAGGCAGGGTGTTGGGGAAGGTCCCAGGAATCTGCAAGGATGACCCTACCTTGGACTAATGGCAGTAGTCGAGAGGGTGCCTGGACTGGTCTACTCCGATGACCAGATTAGTGGCTACCCTAACTATCATCATAGAGCCTTCATCCAGTAACTGATGGAAGCAGATGCAGAGATCCACGGCCGGGTGCCAGGCCAAGCTCCAGGAATCCAATCAATGAGAGAGTAGGGATTCTGTGGGCAGGGCACGTTGAGATCATGATGGGAAAATGTGAAGAGATGACCAGCCACACTAGTGGAAACCCATGAACTGTAGACCAATCGCTGTGGAGCACCCAGAGGACTGGACTAGGCCCTCTGGATACATGAGACAGTTGTTTAGCATGAACTATTTGGGGGGCCCCCAGGCAAGGAGATCCATCCCTGGTGCATGGGCAGACCTTTTGGAGCCCAGTGCCTAGGGTGTGACACCTTGCGCAGGCTTGGTGTAGGGGGAGGGCTTGGACCTGCCTCAGCTGAGTGTGCCAGGCTCTGCTGACTCCCCATGGGACACCTTGACTTGGAGGAGGTAGGAATGGGGAGGGATTTGGGGGGGAAGCTGAGGGGCGGAAAGAGGGGGGAATCTGTGGTTGGTATGTAAAGTAAATAGAAAATCTCTTAATAATAAAAAAGTTCAATGTCTCTTAAAAAATACTCTTGAATTGAATTTGGGAAATTACTATTTAACTGACCTTTTAATTATTGACATTAGCTGTGTGCTTACATGAATATGTGTATGTCGTGGGAAAGATGATTTGCCCTGGGCCTTTTCCTCCTCCTATGCACAAGTAGCTGCTAAAACACAATGCTATTGCTTTTCATGTTGTCTTATCTATACTGCCATCCTTTTTGGATGTCTCTGTTCTCAGAACACTACAGAAAAAGACCTTGTCTCCACCCTGGTAAATGCTGCTCTTTCATGTTTCTAGGAGGGAAAACAGGATATTTTACCAACACCTTTACATTTGTACATGCTAGATACACCAGTGACTGAGTCTATAATGAAGGGTTTACACTTTCTCCAGCAGGAAAGTCTTTATTATGTAAACATATTTACACAAAGTTTTATACACACACACACACACACACACACACACACACACACACACACACACACACGTCCCTCTCCAGATCCCAGTACAGGTGAATAAAGACATCGTAATTACTGGCTGGAACGGAATCTCAAGGCACCGATTTTGCTTTTGCAGAATCACTTTCTATGTTATCTGGGTTGGCAAAGGTCAGGAAAACTTGCTCCAGGGTGATCTGACTGATAGAATAGTCTTCTAAACTGTATTGCTCTTTAGCTTTCTCCAGAATGCCAAACACCTTCAACAGCAACAGAAAACATGCAGTCACCATTGACAAGTTCCCTCCAGACTCCAACCGAGAGAAGTCACCCCTTCCTCTCCCAGTGTCCACTGGGTTCACATTAGAGGACAAAAGGCTCTGAAGGGTGAGAGGGGAAAGCTGGAGAAATAGGTAATTGAGAAACTAAGAGCAGGCAGTTCTCTGTCTCAGTTCTCTTGATGGACATAGACTAGTCATAGGATTTAGGGGCAGAAATAAAAGGCAACTAAATTCTAAAGGTGTCTGAAAAGTAACATAAATGTACTACTGACACCATAATGCCAGGCATGATTCCACTGCCTGGACCCCCAGCACCCCATCATTAGTGCTCCCCTAACATGCAATGGTAGAAGGGCACTGTTTCTGATCACCTTTCCCCAGCTGTTGTCCTTGCTGGGAATGTGGTAATTAAGGATCCCTTGATTCTCTTGCTTCAAGTTACTACCTAAGACAGGAAAATAGGACAGGTGAGTATTCTTCCAGATTTGATTTAAAACTGACAAAATAATAGTACATCTACATAATATTATTATATACAGTGAAGAGACTAATGGGTCTATATATAAGTGGATAGGACCAAGTACT